AGCCCCCGACCAATGGGGGTCAGGGGCGGGCCCGCGGCGCCGGCGCCGGAAGCTGGGAGGCAACGAAGGGACGTTGCGTCGCCGAGCCGGGTCTCAAGCAGCTGCCAGAGTCGCCGGACGGACCTCCGCCACCGCCGCGCCATGGCCGAGAGCGATTGGGACACCGTGACGGTGCTGCGCAAGAAGGGCCCCACGGCCGCACAGGCCAAGTCCAAGCAGGTGCCGGGTGGGGGCGGCGGGGCCGTGCGCAGCGGTCGCTGGGCCAAGCCCGAGGTCGGGGGGGCGGGGGGAGCAGAGCAGTGGGCGGGGACCGGAACGTACCGGGACGCGGGCAGGGGCCGGGGCCTAGGGGCTTTCGTGGAGGGGCGGGGGCTTGGGCACCGGGGACCACAGGTGGGGACCAAGTCGGCCTGAGGACTGGGGCACAGGGTAGCAGACCTGGGCGAGGCTGGGGCAAGGGTCAGGGGTTGGGGGATGGGAATGGGATCTGGGCCGGCACCTGGATGGAGAATGAGATCGGGGTTGAGAACAAGGGCAGGAGCAGGTGAGCGAAACCTGGTGGCCACTAAGTGTGGGGAGTCGGGAAATAAGAGCAGGGGTATTGGGCACGGGAGCCCTGGGAGCCCTGGTAGGGCTAGACCCAAGCTGTGGTTTTTGTCCCCACCTGGTATCTGCCCAGGTCAGGCATCACCGGTGCGTTGCTGCCTATGAAACCCACCCAGGCTATGTCAGCCTGTAGGGAGTGCTGTCTGGGGCTTGTGGTGGTCTGTTGTGGCCTGGTTTCCCTTCTGTAGGTGGGCCCTGCTTCCTGGACCCACAGGCATTGGGGCGCTTTGAGTGGTACTGACCAGCTCTTGGCTTAACTGCTGCAGAGTCAAAGCCAAATTCACAGTCCTTTTCTTTCCGAGGGAACTTGGAGTCATGGCAAACGTGTGGAAAGTCTACAGACTACACGTAGAATGGCTCGCAAGCCATTTTTCCAAAGCACTGGGTTGATGATACTCAGTGACTGAGGCCCAGGTATCACTGTTAGTGGTCCTGTTTCCAGGGAGACGGCAGGGTGCTGTGGGATGCCTCATCTCATTAGGAGCCACACTGGAGGAGATCAGGCCAGGCCAGAACTACATTCCTGCCTGTTTTGCAGCAGAGTTTAGTAGAGACCCATTTCGTTTAAAGAACCTGTTAGCCTCTCCAGCCTGTGTGTGTGTGTTGCTGATACTGAACCCAGGGCCTTGTGGATGGTAAGCAAGCACTTTGTCAGTGAGCTCCCCTCCCAGCCTAAGCCTGTCTTTTTTGTGTGTGTTTGGTGGGGAGACAGGGTTTCCCTCTGTAGCTCAGGCTGGCCTGGATCTTTCCTTCTGAACCTCCTGAGCACTGGATCACAGGTCTGCACCAGCACCACAACAGCTCAAGCCTGTCTTAGTGTAAAAGCAAGTTGTTTCTTTCAGTAGTACGTTAGTGTGCGTTGTCTGGGCATTTAGATATTGAGGGTTTGGATACAGTGGTACCCCCATTGCATTCTGGGACATGAGGCTCCTCAGTGGATGCCTGAAACTGTGGGTAATGCTGGGTCCTTATACACTGTTTCTTCCTACTCGTACTGAGTTTACAAATTAGGCAGAGAAAGAGCAGTTCTAACAGTGCACTGTAATGAGAGCTGAACAGCGGTGGTCTCTCAGGGTCCTGTGCTTACTCTTTAGGAGTACTGTGAGATGGTACCCCAAAGGGTGGGAGTCATATAGACATGGCCGGGTAGCATTAGGCTCCTATATCAAAAAGGCTGCTGAACAAGTAAGAGGCAGGTGGCATGGACACTGGGACAGAGGGACTGTTCCTGCCTCAAGTGGGATAGTGGGAATGGGGTGAGACTCCATTGTACCTCTCAGAACCTACACACTTTAAAAAATTACCTGGTGTTTTGGGATTAAGGTTGGCCATAGGTCCACTAAAGCTGTGTAAAGTGAATGGGGGCAGTGCCCCTTAATGGGTTTTGATTATTTAACTCAACACTTCAGTCCTTTAGAACCATTAGCAGCATGCCAATTGGCAAACAGCAGCCTAAATTGTGTTCCACATACCCCCAAAGCTAATTTTGATTGAAAACCACTTTGTAATTTTCTAGGCCATCTTAGCAGCTCAGAGGCGAGGAGAAGATGTGGAGACATCCAAGAAATGTAGGTACTCGAGTTTCCACTTGCAAAGCCAGGATGTGCTGTGGGGTTGCTTGCCTGATGGTGTGGGTGGGTAGTACCCTGGGGACCTGTCAGGAGCACTGACTGGCTGCTGGAGAGTCAGGAAGTATCCATGACTCTTCAGCACAGCTCTGGGTGGCATGAGGTCAGCAAGGACTGTCCCTTCCACCTTCCTACCCACTACAAGGAAACTCAGATTCAGGGCTCTTAGACTGTGAAGCGGGACAGTCTGGCTGCCCAGGTCAGCTGGGCCCAGGACCCTGTCAGTCTAGTTTCCATTTGAAGTCCTCTCCCCTGTGCTGACCGCAAACTATCTCTGCTCTTTTCTGCTCACTCTGCCTTCCAGGGGCTGCTGGCCAAAACAAGCAGCATTCCATCACCAAGAACACAGCCAAGCTAGACCGAGAGACGGAAGAGCTGCATCATGACAGGGTGACCCTGGAGGTGGGCAAAGTGATTCAGCGGGGCCGGCAGAGCAAGGGGCTGACGCAGAAGGACCTGGCCACGGTGAGGCTCAGGCGACTGTGGCGTAGGGACAGGTGACAGGCAGGCACTCAGACAGCACAAGAGGAGGGTGGGCTCATTGCACGTGGCTTTGGAACCTTACTCTCACTCTCCCTAAAACCTGGGGAAAGCTAGGTCAGGCAGCTATAGTTCCCTCTTGCACAGACCTGTCTTGTATCAGAGAGACAGGCATTGGAGACTCCAAAAGTGGTTGCCTGTGGTGTTTCCCTTGCTTCTGCAGTGCATGTCATTGCATTGCTGTTAAGGTGCATCTTCTCTTCAGAAAATCAACGAAAAGCCGCAAGTCATCGCAGACTATGAAAGTGGACGGGCCATTCCAAATAACCAGGTTTTGGGCAAAATTGAGAGAGCCATTGGTAAGTGTCTTCCCTGGCAGGTCTCAGGCAGGAAATTGGTAAGGGCTGAGATATCCACACCCCTGGAATCCTTAGGGTTTGGGGGATGTTGGGACTCCAGAACCCTAAGGAAACAGTATCTTGGATCCTTCTGGGGTTGGGGCTAGCATCCTTGTGTGAGCACACTGCCCTCAGGAGGGTCCCATGTACCTCTGCCTCCATGGAGGCTGAACACAATGTTCCAGCTTTTCCAGGCAAGATAGATGCCAATACGTTATCCTTTTCCTTTTTAATTTTTTTGGCTGGGGCGGGCAGTGTTTCTCCTGCTATAGCCCAGGCTGGCCTCAAACTCAAAGCAGTCCTCCCAGTAAGGTTCCTGAGTGCTGGGATTATTGGTGTGCACCACCATGCCCATCTTCAACCCTTTCTAAGATGGTTGGCCCACTTTAATGTCAGCCATAAAAGCCAGCCATCAAGATGGTTGGCCCACTTTAATGTCAGCCATAAAAGCCAGCCATCTTTGTGGAGGCCCCAGGAGGCACTGTTAGTAGGAAGCTTGAGTAGGGCAGAGAGGACTGGTGGGTACAAGAGCTGGGAGTGGTCAGCAGCCTCCTGGCTTGTTTCAGGCCTCAAGCTCCGGGGGAAGGACATCGGGAAGCCAATCGAGAAGGGGCCGAAGGCAAAATGAGCACAAAGCCTCGAAGCCAGTGGTTCCGGCTGAGCTCGTCTGGCTGGTCCCCTGGGACCGCCAGCACTACCGTCCGTGGGTCTCCTCACATGGCCGAACGGAACATGGGGGCAGGCCTGTGGCCCCCTCGACCCATACCTGCTGTCAAACAAAGCCAAACCTTGCAAAGTGATGATCTCCTGACTCTTTCCTCTCTGCCTTCTGACCCTCAACAGGGACAGACCAGCACCTTTTGTCCGCCTTCTATGGACAGCTGGCTGTGGTGGGCAGCTCAGGGCTGGGGTTACAAGAACTCCCTGGAATGTGAAGCCTGGGAGGAGGAGGAGGAAATCCCTGGGTTTTCTCTCCTTTGGAGAGAAGCAGTGCCTAGCATTCTCTACCGCCTTTGGCCTGCGCCTTACTTTAGACCACAGTTGTAAGGGTTGGAAGTGCACTTCATTTGTGATAGGTACTGTACCCATTGGGACCTGGGAATTTCTTTCCTTGACCACTCAGAGAAGTAGGCCCTAGTCAGCCTTGTAGCACTTAAAGATGCAGGTCATGCCCAACTACCTCTGTCTCATGGGGGCTGAGTCCTGGGACAGGCAGGAGCCTGGCTGGGACCCCTTGGGGCATGTTAGGGCAGTTTCCCTGAGATAGGTATGTAACCATCGCTTGGTTAGGACCCTGATCCTGTGTGGCTGCCCCAGGTGTTCTCTGACCTTTAGGTCAAAGGGCAGCCCGCCTTCTCGTGACCTGTGAAGGGTAGTGCACACCTGATCACCTCAGCTTCACCACTTGCAGCCCTGGGGTTGTTCACACCTTCATCTGGGGTGGTAGCACTGCTCCTCACCAGGTCAGTTTTGTCATACCCCTTAATATCCCTCCATCTGTAGGGTGACTGTCCTTACTGGGTACAGAATCAACTGGTGCATTGGGCTGGGCCCATTCCTCACAGGCTAGGATGGTGGGTCCTTTGGGGCCTGCTGCTGTCCGCCATTCCCATGCCTGCATGGTTCTTCATTGGGCTTGACTGCTTCATGGGAGTCTTACATCTAATTCCTGAGCTGCATCAAGGGCAGTGAGGGGCCCCATACCTGCTCCCTTCAGTTCCTCATGTTAGGTCTTGAACCCTGGGAGGGCCATCCACCCACCAGCCATGACACACGGAGTATAGCCTGAGAGCCTGGACTGCCCTCAGTGGCATGGGACATTTATTTACAGTACTAGGACCCCCTTGATCATAGCAGAGGACAGTCACAGGATGAGGGAGGAGCTGTGGGGAGCATCATGTCCCAGTCCCCACATCCTGGCCCAGACGGCAAAAAGCTCAGGTGTCTGTGAGGTCTTAGTGCTGTGGGAGTTGGCATGAGAGACCAGGCCTTGCCTGCAGTGACCTATGGGTTGCTGGTGACAGATGCTGGGAGGGTGACTTGATCCTGGGAAGAAGGGAGGAGCTTTGTGGCAACTGCTATTGAGAGGAAGGTGACAGCCAGGGTCTGGACAGGTGGGTTAGGTGCCCCCTTCCCTGAGTTGGCCTGCCACTGCCTGCTCGCCCATCATTGAGTGCAGAGGCAGGATCTCCCACTTCCCCACATCTAGGGGTTCCTACCGCATTGAAGAGGATGTTGTCAAAACTGGAGGCTGCCGTTTCTGTGCTCCTCTGGAAGGGGCAGCCCCACTTATGCAGCCAGTGCCAACTCCCAAGCCCCAGGAGCACCAGGAGCACGAGGAAGAGGAGGGCCCCACCAACTGCAGCTGGCACTGACAGAGGTGCTGCCATGTCACCTGTGGGCCGAGAGTGCTTGAACCCACCACGTAGTTTTCAGTCCCTATGTCAGGGACCTACTCACAGGGTAAAGAGTAAGCCTAGGGCTGCCTGACCCCTCCAGTCTTTGTCGGCTCCAAGGTTTACCCTGGTTGCTCTGTCAGTATAATGCTGCAGACCTGCCCCATTTGGATCCAGCTCTTCCTCCTGGCATGATGGCAGCCAGTGACCAACAAACACAGGCCCCATTGTGGCCTCTGCTCTACCTTGGCAGCTGACCTTGCCCAGAGAGGAGACAGAAAGCTGGTGCAGCGTCCATGGACAGCCCACACCAGGGCCGAGTGGGGAAAGCACAGGGCCCAGTCTTGGTTCTGCTGGTTCCCTGAGGTGGGCACAGGGTGCTGGTAGCCACCTGGGCCCTCTGCACTGTCTCCAACCTGGAGCTCAGGACTTACCCTGGCTAGGAGTAGGCTGCTGGCAGTGCTGTCCAGGCAGGTACTCCACATCATCAATGGCGATGGGCCCCAGTGCTGGCTGGCCACCCAGGGTGGCTTCAAACACGATCTAGTTGCGGAAGGAAAAGGCTGAGTACCTGAGGGGAGAGGGGAGAAGGGAGGAAGGACAGCCCACTCGGGGCCTCACCTGGAACTCTTCAGAGCTGGCCACCTCGATCTGGACTTGCAACCACTGGTGCCGCAGGCGCCCACCCTCACCCCATACAGCTAGCTGGCCTTGGGCACTGCTCAGGAGCACCCGGAGTTCACCCTTGTCTGAGAATAGAGGCCAGGGCAGATCAGGCATGGAATTTCCTGTGTGGCTGGCCTGAGCCTGTGCTCCCCCACATCCAGGACCCAGCAGCCACTCACAGAAATGCTCAGGAAAGCCCATGTAGTACCAGAAGCAGAGGCATGAGGCTGTCGTTGCTGGCAGTGGCTCGCTGCGCAGCCAGGCTGCCTGGCTCCCGGGACCCAGCACACTGGTTTCAAAGAAGGCAAAGTGGCCTGGAAATAGAGATTGGGATGCACTGGCTCCACTGACTCCTTTGACCTGGTGGTCTTTCATCTGAGGGTGTCTGGGTGTGCCAGGTGGTGCCAGACAGAGTAGAGTGGCTGTGTGGCTCCTGGCCTATCTTTTGCTCCTCCCCTGGCTGCAGCGGGAACACACCTGCCTCTGTGCCCAGTGTGTGGTCCACTGTGGGCTGCGGGTAGCGGGATGGGGTGGCTCCACTGCTCCAGTCCCAGCTGTACCTGCCTAGGCTGGGCCAGGCCAGGTGGCTCCAGCCACATAGGCCTGATTCAAAGTCACAGGACCCTGTAAGGAACTGGCAGGTGAGCAGAGCTGCTGTACTGGGGACCAGGACACCTAGGCAAGGCCATGTGATGCCGAGGGTGGGGCCAAGGTTTGGGAGTTTGTTAAGGCACAGCTATGGTACCACTTGGGCCACAGCAAACTGCCCACCTGGTTGAGCGCAGGGCCCATCTTGGAGGAAAAGGTCATCCAGTGCCATGTAGGAGTGTTCCACACCAGCAGCCACAGCCTCAATCACTACCTGCAGGGTGTATGACCACAGAACCTGCAGCCTGGTGCTGACAGTCCTTGATGAGGAAGCCTTCCCCTTCCCACCCAGGCACTCACCCTCCAGGCCTCCTTGGCCTGCACGTTCACACTGCCCAGGTGCCAGGCAAACCCACCATGGGCGCTGATGCTGAGCTCCTGGCGGCTTGTGCCCTCTTCCACATGGACCCGCAGGGTCCCTGCACACCAAGGACCAGCCAGGTCAGCTGTGGGGGGGTTCACCAGCCCTGCACAGGACCCCTCAGCTTCCCACAGCTCCTCACCTGGGTTGCGGAGGCTCATATGGTACCAGAAGGTCAGGCAGGCAGGCCGGGCCAGGGGCTGATGCTGCTCTGAGGTCAAGGAGGCCACATGGCCCTTTGGCAGTGCATGTGGGCTGGTGTCCACCACCATGTAGTGCCCTGGGGGAGGGGACCGGCATCAGCCTGCCTTCTCCTGTCCAGTTCTCTGTCCCCTAACCTTCTGCCAGCCAGTACCTTGGGGCGTCTCTGTCGTATGGTCTGTCCAGGGACCCCAGGGGGCATGACCTGAGGCATTTCCCTGATGAATCCATAGTCCTGAGCCCCCTGGGGAAAAGCCACAGGCAGTGTCCTCAAAGGAGCAGCTCTTGGGAGCCCAGCAGGGGCCAGGCCGCACAGCCATGTCATCCAGTGCCATTGTGCCATGGTACCCATCCCGGAGGCCTTCAAATAGAAGCTGGGGATGGAGAGTGTCAGCTGGGTGGGGCCTCCCCCATACCCTCCACCCAGTGCCAGCTCACCTGGTACTTTGTGCTGGCCTCTGGCTGGTGGTGGAGAGTGACCCAAGCCTGACGCCAGCGGTTGCCATGAGTGCCAGACCGGGACCACAGCAGTATGTCTTCCTTATCTCGCCTCATGGCCAGGCGCAGTGTCCCTGAAGGGAGGTGGAGCTTGGAGGGGACCAGCTTTTGATCCCCCAGGAATGCAATGGGCACCCAACACATCCACAAAGGCCCTGGCAGCCCTGAAGCTCTCACCAATCTGGGGACCGTACAGGTGGTACCAGAAGCTGAGGCACTCCTTAGGGATGGCAGGCACCTGGGGTCTGGTAAGCAAGTGGGCGGCTTGGCCATGGGCTGGTGGGTCCATGGGGTCCAGGAACATGAAAAAACCTTACATGGGTTCAAAGCTGAGCTGTAGAAATGCTCTCTGCCAGTCTGAGCTCCCCCTCCCCCAAGTCTCAGAGCTCCTGGGTCTGAGGGCCCCATGGGCCTCGGAACTCCTACCTTGGCCAGTGGTGTGGTCATACCCAGGGCCATGGCTTTTTATACGTTGCCAGTGGGCATCTGTGAGGTGGCCTGTGTGCCAGCTGCACTCATCTCGTTCAAAGTTACAGGAGATGTCTGGAGGTGGGGTGGGGTGGGGTGGGGGGTGAGCATTGCCTCCTGCCCCTTACTCCTTCCCCTTTTCCCTCCCCCTCCCCAGCTGTGAGAAGGTAGAGGGACAAGAGGTAGATTGGGTAGCAGCCCCTGAGTGGGGATAGGAGGTGGACAGGAGAGACCTTGGTCATTCTCAGTGGTCACCATGGGGTTGCAGTTCTTCATGGTCACATTGTCCACCCCAGCTCCCTGCTGGCCAGGGCCATCCAAGTCCACCAGACTGACAAACTCCAGCTTCAGGCCAGAAGAGGGAAGATACTGTCAGAGCTGGCTTGGTACAGATTCCCGACCTGGGCTGCCATCCTCACCTGGAAGGGCCGATGGTGTGCCCCAAGAAGAACCTTGTTTGCTGTCCAGCCCCCACTGCTGCTGCTTGGGGCCTGCCACAGCAGCTCCCGGAAGCCATTCTCTACCACCATGAGTGACAAGAAGCCTGGCCAAGGGAGTTATGGAAGGTGGGTCTTCCTCAGACCCCCTCCCCCCATGCAAGGGGCACCTGGGGACAGAAGTGTGTAATACCTTGGGGGTGACTGTGGAAATAGTAAGCCATGTGGAGTTCACAGTGGGGCCCAGAGGGACCCAGAGCAGGTGTGAGGGCCCGGGCCTCTGCCCTCAGCTGCCCCCAGGCTTTCTTCAGAGACAGGAAGTGCCCTGTGGGAAGAGCAAGGCACCCCTCCGAAGTTCAGGAATCCCTAATTCATAAGCCCTCTCTGATAAGGACTGGGGATGTGTGGGCCTCACCAGCAGCAGCCCGGTTGGCATCCCTGGCAGGTTCTCTGCTCTCATGGGCTTCAACCAACTTCCACTGTAGCTGTCCTACGCTGATGTCCTCCCAGCCCCCGGCAGAAGTGGACTCAAAGTCTGTGGCGCCTGCAATAGCAGCCTGTGCTGAAGGGCAGTGCAGGCCCCTGGGTGCTCTGTCCTCCCTGGGCTCCACATGGGTAGGGGGACCCAGGCAGTCTCTGACTGCCCTCACCACACTCCCGCTCATCTTCGCCCTCGGTGCACTGCTGCTGGAAATCACACAGGTGCTCTGGGGGTACACACAGGTCTCCACAGGAGAGATGCCCTGGCTCGCAGACATTCCGGAGTGACTGGGTGGATGGCTGGGGGAAGAGGACGGGAGCCCCAGGCCCAGGAAGTGACAACTGCAGGGTGGACACCTCTGGAGCAAAATTGAGGTCAGGTGGGGGTGGGTGGGGAACGAGCTTTTCCTGGACAGGTCAGGGGAAGGGCTTAGGCAGGTCACCTGGAACAGGTCTGCAGTGGTTGGACAGGATGAGGTCGTCCAGGCCCACGATGCCTCCTGGCCCCGTCTCCCCAGTCAGGAGGATCTGAGGGCAGGGAGGGCTCAGGGGTGCCAAGCAGGACTGCTCTGTCCTGTCTTCTCTCTGGTTCCCTCTCCCTGTCTGCTTGCTGCTGTTCTTCATAAATTGGGGGACACTCCCAACCTCCCTCACTGGGTCCCTCGAGAGGGGTTGTCTGCAAAGTCTTCAGGGTTCTCCATCTCTGCATGCTCTAAGCTGGGTTCCCTGGATCCCACCCCTTTCCCCATCACCACCTGGCTGGCCTCACCTGGAAGGGGTGGGCACTCTGGATGTCAACCCGGTCTCTGACCCAGGCTGCCCCCAGCTCCCCATGGCGACTCCGAAGCAGTATGGGAACCTTGGGGGTTTTGGACCCTTGTGCCTGCAGGAGCAGCTGCAAACGGCCAGCCTCGGACCCGTGAAGGTAGTAATAGAAGGTGAGCTGGAACAGAAAGGACCTCAGGCTGTCAGGTGCCTCTGGCATCTAGACAGCCAGGAAGGACCACTCTGTCTGTCCATGTCCTCCATACCACATCTCACCGAGCAGTTGAAGGAGCCTGAGGCTTGGAATTCAGGACTGAAGAGGACAGCAGGGGTGCCAGGTTTGGCCAGGGAAACCAGGAAGGAGCCTAGGAGAGAGATCAGCTCTGGGTTTGGGTCCCTGGGAGGTGGGTGGGTGGGAAGGACCATGGCCAGGGTCCCTCAGTGAACTCACCATGTGCACTGTTCTGGCTGTGATCTCGGTGGGGCCAGGCAGGGATCACAGAGCTGACAGCACTGTGGTTCCAGGCCCAGCCCTGAGAGTGGTTCCACAATCCCAGGCCTGTCTCAAAGTCAGTGAGCATGTGGTGGCCTAGGGTGGGAGTGAGGTTGTATAGGGCTGCTGAGCAGAGCTTGCTACAGCCAGATGGTCCTGGCTCCAAGAGGGACACTGGCTTTCTCAACCAGAATGACCATGGTCTGCCCTCTGGGACAAGCCCCAGTGGTCCTTGAAGGACCCCGAGATCAAGGTCTAGCCTCCCAGTCTCATTCTGCAGCCCCTCACCCTGCCCAGCCCTAGATGGCCCCAGCCTCACTGCAGATTAGCAGGTCCTCATCAGAGCCATCACCACAGTTGTCTTCATTGTCACACAGCTGGTGGGGCTCCACACAAGCCTTGTTCTGGCAGTGGTGGTGCCCCATGGGGCAGCTGGCCTGAGGGACTGGGGTGGGAAATGGTTAACTTTCATCTGTTCCCAGGATCCCAGGTGAGGGCTATGCCAGGAAGAGGCTGAAGACCGCCTGCACAGGGGAGGCGGTAGGGGCCTCCCAGGGTTGGAACAGAGTGATGTGAATGAAGCCTTACTGGGCAGTCCACAATTCCAGAACTCCACATCATCCACGGCCACAGCACCCCTGTGTGTAGCATTTCGGGTGACAGAAAAGGTCACCTGAAGAAAGCAGGGGTCCTTAGGACCTGGGTCAGGGACCAGACCCGCCCACCGCTTCCCACCTGGCAGACCACCCAGCTCACTCGGAAGTCACCCCGGATGCGGCCAGTGTTGACTGCCAGCTCCTGCCAGCCAGAACCCCAAGGTCCTGAGCTCTGCCATAGGTTCAGTGTCTCCACACCATGGGTCAGCTCCAGCCGAAGCTCTGCTACATCTGCAGCATTTTGAGTGGTCCTGGGGCATCTGTAGCCCTGCAGTGCCTCTGTCTAGGCTACCAGCTGTGTCCTGGCCCTCCTTCTGTATCTGTAACCACCCCTCTCCTTGCCCAGCCTCTTCCCAGAACTGCCCAGCCTCAGGGGGTGCGGGGCATGCACCTCTAGAGACTGCATGGTACCAAAGCCTCAGTTCACAGGTTGGGGCTGCCTCATGCAGGACAGGGGAGCGTAGAGTCGCAGTGGATGTCTCCTTCCCACGGTGAGTTCCCACAGCCATGTACCAGCCTGGCCCGGAGACAGAGCTCAGTAAGTTGGACAGGAAAACAAGAGGACAGGAGAGTGGCAGGGGAGATGCATGGATTCCCTGCACCTTACCCAGGTCACTGCCATGGGTGTGGTCCGAATGAGGCCCAGGACCATCGAACACTGCCCCTGCTCGGTCTCGAAGCCAGCTATAACCTGAGGTGCTGATGTCCTGCCAGCCACAAGGATCCTGCTCAAAGTTGCAGGTGAAGGGGGTTCCCAGGGTGGGCAAGGCACTGTGGAAACCTAGGAAGATGGATTGTCAGGAGTCTGCCATTGCGATGGCCCCACCACTCCCACCTAATCCAGCTTACCACACTGGGACTCGTCCGAACAGTCTCTACAGTCGCACACGAAGTTGCACACAGCCTTGCTGGGACTCCTGCAGTGGTTGGGGACCCAGGCCTTGCATGGAGACCATGTGGCTGGCAAAGTAACAGCTAACTGGGTGGGGAGCAAAGTGACTGGCTGTCCCACTTTGCCCAGTACTGTCTGATTTGAGCACTGAATGTTCCATGTCCAGGGAAACCCCCAGACCTGAGCAGCACAGAGCACTGGTCAATCAACTTCATGGCTTGACCCTATGAGGTTCAGGGAGTAGCCTGGCACCCACTAAGAACTGCCACTGGGGCTCCACACCAGGATCAAACACAGAGTGCCTTCCCACTTCCTAGCCCCACAAAGCCTAGCTGCAGTTCAGGGAGGGGAGAAAGGCCCTTGACAGGAAACATGCGCTGGGGAAGGCACAAGAGTCCATATGACCCAGGTAGGAACTGGAGGGGCTTCCAGCAGGGTGTCCCCCCACCTCCAAGATAAACATTGATGGATGATCAAAGGGACCGCTACCAGTCCCACAATGTGAAGGTGGCAAGCAGAACCTTAGGGAGCTGGGTAGATATTCACCTATGATGCTCTGTGGGCCTCTCTTCTGGGCAGGAAGAGAGGTCTTAGGTGAGCAATCCCCAGCCCTATGGGCTTGACTTGGACGCCCTCACTGCAGACAACCCACTTCTGGCAGGCTCCTGTATCTGCTATGATGCCAACTGGCATCCAGGCAGCAGCTGACTCACCCACAAGCAGGACCAAGGTAGGAAGGAAGTGTCTGGGTAGATGCATGGCTGGGCTGGAGGAGGAGGGCCCGGTGGCAGCGAGGATATGTAGCCTGGTGGAGACTTTACCCAGTTCTCAGTCTGCAGTGGCCTCACAGGCTGACTTAGCTCTTAGTGAAAGGGGCTCAGCCCCTTTATGCCTGCAGCCACTTGCTAGGTCTTACCCAATGTCACAGGCCAAGCAAGCATCTGGTTGTAAAAGTGTCCCCAGATGGAGGCCCCCTGGCTCAGGGTCAGATCTCATCTGATTGGCTCTTTCTGACCAAAGGTCAGGTCTTGACCATCCTCTGCATCTGTCCAGCCTCACCCTGCCCTGCCCAGTGGAAGGTCTCCACTGGGATGCGGAGAGGCTGGGGATCCCATCAGCAGGGCTCTAAGCTTTTCTTATGGGGCTTACGGCCCCACCCTGGTGCAGGCCAAGGCCAGGGCTATCTGGCATGTGTACACAAGCTGCCTCTGCTCTGTACTTGGGGGATCAGGACAAGCCTCGTATCACCGGCTTGTCTCTGTGGACCACAAGTCCAATGTCAGGGTGCAGTGTCTTCCCTCTCATGCAAGCTATGGGTAATCACTTGTCATTTATTCCTCTCATTTTTTTGGTTCTTGAGACAGGGTTTCATGTAGCCTAGGCTGGCCTGAATTTGCTATGTAGCTGGGGATAACCTTGAATTTTGTTTTTGGTCTTACTGAGACAGGGTTTCCCTGTAGCCCCAGATGGTCTGGAACTCACTCGCTATGTAGACCAGGCTGGCCTCAAACTCCCTGAGATTCGCCTACCACTGCCTACCAAGTGCTGGGATTAAAGGTGTGTACCACCATGCTCAGCTTTAAAAAAAGATTTTTTTTGGTCTTTTTGAAGCAGGGTCTCCCTGTAGCCCCAGCTGTCCTGGAACTCACTATGTAGACCAGGCTGGCCTTGAACTCACAGAGATCCGCCTGCCTCTGCCTACCAAGTGCTGGGACTACAGGAATGTGCCACCATACCCAGCTATGACCAGCTTTTTAAAAAAATTTTTTTAAATTATTTTTATTTTAGCGGGGCATGGTGGCACACGCCTTTAATCCCAGCACTCGGGAGGCAGAGGCAGGCGGATCTCTGTGAGTTCAAGGCCAGCCTGGTCTACATAGTGAGATCAAGGACAGCTGGAGCTACAGGGAGACCATATCTCAAAAAGACCAAAAAAAATTATTTTTATCTTAATGTGTCTGAGTGTTATGTCTACATGTGTGTAAATGCACCCATGTTATGCAGTGCCCATGGAAGACAGAAGAGGGCATTGGATCCCCTGGAACTGGAGTTAATAGATGGTTGTTAGCTGCCATGTGCGTGCTGGGATTTGAACCTTACTCTTCTGTAAGAACAGCCAGTGCTCTTAACCCCAGCCTTGAACTTCTGGTCCTCCTGCTTCCACCTCCCCAGCACTGGGGTCACAGGTGTGCACTGCTACACTTAGTCAACTCAGTGCTTGAGATGAACACAGGGACTTTGTGCACACCAGGGAAGCATGCTGTCCAACTGAATTATATACCCAGTCCCTATTCATTTATAAAAACTCTTCTGAGCAGCCACATGCTGAGTGCTTGATGACAGGTACAGGGTCCTGGTGAACTCAGAAATTCATTGTCCCAGGAAAAGACTCTCACTTGGGGAAGGGGAAATGTCAAGTTTTGAGGAGCCTGTCACATGGAGCTAGACTTTGCCTGGGATTTACCTCAGCATGCCATTGGGGTTTTCCCCAACCAAGCTTGTTTGCTGGTCTGTAAAGGGATCTCAGTAGTATCTGCTTGCAGAGGTAGTCTCCAGGACCTTGGAAGCTGACAAGAGGTGCCCTAGCCCTGGCTTTCCACAGTTCCCACTATCATCACATAGTATCCCCTGGGCATAGGGCTCCTCGGAGCAGGGGTTAAGCTTGTCCCTACCTACACTGCCTTGAATAGGGAGGTGAGGTTAGGACAGAAGATGTGGAAAGTCTAGGGACTAAGGCACATTTGAAATCAGAAGCCCTGAGTGAATGACCCAGGGGCAATTGGTGTGTGCAGCTGTTGGACCCCCAGGGTTGCAGGTCACATCATGGATGCTGTCTGTTGACATACCACTCAGGGATATCAGGCTGGGCCTGAGAGCAGATCAAAATGCAGCCCCTGTCAACTGGCCAGCACTGTGGTTGCCAGGGCAACCTTTCCTGTTGGGAATCCTGGGATGAACTCCAGGAAGGTGAACACTTGTGGGCACCCCAGGCCTTGGCTGGCCAGGAGGAGCCTGGCACTGACTGTTTGCGCAAGACCTTTGTGGGGCCTCCTCCTAGATATCCTTGGGATGACAGCAGCTTCATAGAGGAGCAATCAGGCCATAAATGGCAGCAACCCTTGGGCCCCTTATCAGAGTCCAAGGGGCTGAGTGTGCAGCGACACTCCCAAGGGCCCCTTGAGGCTGAGTAGGTATATCTGGTGGCCACCCAGAAGCAGAGAAGCCAAGATACAAGTCAGAGACTGGCAGGCATATCAATGCTTTTAATTCTTCTGGGCCACACTGGTCTGGCTTATAAGGCATGACAGGTGGCATGCTGCCTGAGGTACAAAAGGAAGGGCCAGGGCCAGCCCATCAGGAGGGAACCCAGGAAGAGCACAGTCCAGACTTGGGTGCTGGGAAGTAGGCCTCAGTAGCCATCGTCAGCCCAGGTAACCTCGTAATCAGGATACTTGGCTTTGATCTTCTCAGTTGAGACAGAGTGCTGGGCACGACCATAACCCTGGAGAGAAGGTTAGGGTTAGGGTTAAGGTTAGTCTGCTTGGGCTTTTGCTCTGGGAGTCCACTCAGCAGCCACCAATGGCAGGCATGGGAAAGGTACCCAAACCATCTGGACTAAAGGGCTCCATAGGTGAGCCCTGAGGCTCCAGGTGGTCTTTGTGAGGAGAGAGTCAAGGCTGTGAGTTCAACTCCAGCACTGAACACCCCGAGGGCTTAGAAGCTCAAAGAGGTAGGACACAGAGATCCCGGGCAAGGAGGAGGTGCAGCTAAAGGCAGTTTCCGGCCACTCTGGTGTCACATGGGGAATGTGTGGAAGCCACAGCCCTTAAGTGAGGGCTATACAGTTTGGACTGCCCAGAGTCCCAGAATGGCAGGTCGGGGGCCAGGCTCACAAGGGTGAGCTCTGCAGTCAGGCCTGGGCTGGAACTCACCATAGAGTAGCCATAAACGTGAATCTTCCTGTCCTGGCTCTGGTGGGAGATGCGCCCGCCGCCCAGGCACTCACAGTCATAGCCTTTCCTTTGCAGCTCTCCGGACACTTTGTCATAGATGTCCGCTGGGGTGGGGAGAGGGACCTCAAGACATGCCCTAATTGCCTTGGTTGACCCCGTAATGAACTCTAGGACGGATGTAGGGGTCTGAAGCCCCAGGTCTGCGTGGCCTTTTCCCCAGTGGAAAGGTAGCCGCACCCTACTGGCACAGGGATGAAGAAGATGTTTTCCGAAGAGGGAGAGGGGATGAAAAAGGGTTGGGTCGGCAGGGCGTGATGGCGCACGCCTTTAGTCCCAGCACTCGGAAGACAGAGAGGCAGGTGGATCTGTGTGAGATCGAGGCCAGGCTGGTCTGCATAGTGAGTTCCAGGCCATCCGGGGCTACAGGGAGGTAGGGTCATGACAGTACACCTAGCTCAGGGCCCTGACTTTTCAATTAGCAGGATGAGGCCATCGTACGAGGCGTGGCCGGCCGTAGGCACCCACAGCGGCTGCAGTGGCCCCGCCCCGCCTAGGCTCCACCCCCGCACCCCAGGCCCCGCCCTCACCGTGGTACTCGGCCCATTTGTATCCCCGCACGATTTCCTTGCACTCCCCGGCCGGGTCCTCGGAGGGCGATGCTACGTGGACTCGAATCAGCACATACTTAAAGACGCCATCCGAGTCGATGTCCACATCAGAAATCTGAGCGAGGTCCGCCGCCATGTTCCCGAACGCTCGCGGGTCCTCCGGGAGCCACTGCCCCTCACCCATCCGAGGAGGCCGGAGCCGCGCGCGCCAGGCGGGCCAGGACGGCTGCACCAATCCCGACCCGGGGTGCTTCCTGAGGCCCCGAGCCTCAGCCAGTGGCACCTCCGAGCCGAGGCACGGGCTGGCCAATCGCAGCCCAGCTCCTTGCAGCTTCGGGACCATGTGTCCCAGTTAAAGGAGCCGCGGCTGCGGGAACGCAGTGGGAATCAATTAAATGAAATCAAAATTCGGTGTGCGAGGCCCGGAAGGTGCTGCGGTGACGCACGCCTGTTCCTCTCCCCGGTCCTAGGGCGTCCATCCCCTATCATCAGACATAAATCTCGGGTCCTTTCTTCCCCAGCACCCTCACGCCCGAGGCTCCCCTCCCTGACTCCTCCAGGTTCGATGACCTCCCCGCCCTACCCCTCCACACTCCATACCCAACCGCCAACCCGAGGGCTTCCCTTCCCATGCCCAAGGGCCTCTGGTCCCGACCCCCTCCAAAGCCCTGCAGGCTCTACCCGCCCCTCTAAAGAGTCAGCCGCGGTTACTTTCAAATTCTGTTTTACTTGGCTCAATAGCACGCGCTTTCTGGAAATGATGGGTCCAGGGGCGCTCCTGCCACCTGCTCCTGTAACCAAAGTGGAGGCCCTGGGGAGGGCGGTAGGCGGGTGCGGCGGCGAAGCACGACGGCGTCGAGGCAGGTGCCAACTAGGGTGCCGGGAGGAGTCCAACGGAGGTGCGTGGGTGTGCACCGACGGCAGCAGGGGTCGGCGGCGGGGTTCCCAGGTTCTAGCACTTGATGCCCTCTCCCCTCGCGGGTAGGGGCTTCTGGGACGGGCTGACGCTTACGCAGCGTCTGGCCTCGCCCCCCTCGCACACTCCTTGGAGCTCTGGAACTGACTCAGGTGCACTAGGTGCTAGGGGTGTGGCAGTGGGCGAGGGCCGCCTAGGCCTAGACTGGCACTAATACCTGCAGCTTGGCGAGCGCACGGCACTTTTGAGGAAAAGATCTGACCGCGAGGCAGATCCTCAGCCCTGGCCATCTAGCCGCTGCTCCTCTGCTGTGCACCTTACTCAACCCACTTCCAACTAGAAGCACCTCCTGTGCCCTCCTCCTTCCTAAGTCAGCCTGTGAGGCCCCCTGCTGGTCCCTCCTAAGCACACACTTCCCACCTTCCTGTGTAGTCCACCTTCTTTGGATCTGCCCTGGCCATCTTGTTGCCCTAGATATTGTTGGGTGTGTGGGTGCTCCAACCCTCACCCAGCCAGTTCTCAATCCGGCCTCGTTGCCACCCACTCTGCTTCTCCTGCTCAGGTTCCCCTTTGGGTGGCTGGGTGGCTTGCAGTTTGGTTTTGGCCTGAAGACCTCCAGTATCCCAACATGTCCTACAAGGGCCTGAGACCAAGGCAGCCAGAGGTCAGAGGGCCTCAGGACAGGCAGCATTTAGTGTGCCAGGCTAGCCCTACCCACAGCCTCTCCAGCATAGGGGTGCACAGACACTAAGTAGGCCTCAGAGCCTGACACACTCCAGACACAGGAGGTGGGTTAAGGGCATACTTAAGTGAGGACACTAGGCTTTGGTCAACATGGACTTCTGGACTTGGGGGAATGGGGATCGAGGGTTGAGGAGACTCTAGGGAAGAACCCTGCAACATACATGGGCAGAGTTTCCCTGGGTAGGATGTGTGTACCGGTGACCTTCCACTTGAAGGCAGAGCCAGTGGTCCTCAGGCCCACCCCGCCTCCTAACGGGGAGCACCGAGGGCGAGGACACGACTCTTGCGGGGCCCTCTCCCCACGGCTGTCTTAGGGAGGGCCCAGGGTTTGGTAGCCGGGTAGGGTAGTCTGACTGGGAACAGAAAAGGAGAGATGCAGCTGGTGGAAAAGCGTGGGATGCAGGAGATGGGGGCAGAGTCTTAGGCAAAGCTGGAGGTGGCGGGGTGGGCGGGGCTTGGGCAGAGAATTTGTAGGCCACTTTGAGAGGGCCCAGGAGACCAGACTGAGCCCTGAGTGGGCAGGGCGAGACTCCGGGGGCCGTCCTGGTGGATCAGTTTGGGCCTAACTGGGGTAGACAGGGCTCCGGTCAGGGCCTGGGCCCAATGACCCCGTGGCTCACATGATGTCGTCCAGTAGGTTGGCGCTGGCTACCCAGTCGAGCGCACGCGGCTCGGAAGCAGCCATGATCATGCACATGAAGGGACGGCCGGTGCGCCGGTCGGTGGGATAGATGGTAGTGGGCGTGAAGCGCCGGTTGGTCTCGACAAATTCGCAGAGCTGCTCGTAGATGCGTGGGAACTCGTGGCGGAGGAAGACGCCGCGCAGGCGCAGCTCGCGCTGGATGTGGATGAAGGCCACTTCGCGGGCGCGCCGGCCCGCCTCACCCTCCTGGTCCAGGCCCGCTGTGCCGGGCGGAGGCGTCAGGATCAGTGTCTCCATGTCCGGATCTCGACCACGCGCAGGGGGAGGCCGCGCCGGGCTGCCGGCAGCCAAGGCCACCTTGGCGAACTTGCGCACCGTGGGCCCGGAGCTGCGCGGCGCGGGCGCGGGCCGGGCGGAGGTTCCGGGAGGTGCAGCGCCCGGGCCCACGGCCACCGACACGCTAAGGAGGAAGCACTCGGCCGGTTCGTAGAGCCTCCCGGCGGCCGCCAGCTCTCGCGCATAACTGCCCAGAGGCGCCGCGTGTGTAGCCAGTTCGCGCAGGGACAGGTAGGTGGGCGACAGTAGCAGCCCTTCGAGGCCGAAGCGGAGGAAGTTGTCGGCTGAACCCGGGCTGGGGAAGCCCAGGAACAGCACGCCGCGGCCGCGCGACAGGAACCCGACGCGCGCGATGCGCGAGAAGGCGCGGTGCACCGGGCCGCTGTCGCGGCAGAACTGCAGCACATGGCGGCACACGCTGCCCACGCGGCCGTACACGCAGCGCGCCTTGTGTGCGTCCCAGTCCTCTCGGCGGCACAGGCGCGAGCAGTAGTAGGTGTAGCAGCTGTGGCACGACTTGAAATAGAGGCAGGCGTTGAACATGGTCTCCGTCCGCCGGCAGCGCGCGTTGGAGCAGGTCATCAAGTCGTCCTCGTCTGCGCTGGGCTCCGGAGAGGCATCGGCCGCCTCCCCGGAGCCCGCAGGCTCTTCGGTGCTGCCGGCGGAGGCAGGTGGGGAGCGCGGCGGCGCCAGCGCTGGGGCTCCGGGGCCCGCAGGCCGCGAGTCCAGCAGGCGGCGCAGTTGGCGGCCTAATCCTTCGGCTGCGGGCTCCGGGGCGGGGCCAGCCGGTGGCCGAGAGTCTATGACCAGGTCAGTGATGAGTTCGTCCAGCTGCTCCAGGCTGCGCTGGCGGCTGGACGCAGGGCCCTCGGGGGCGGTGGGTGCTGGCGGCCGCGGGCGGCCCCCAGGCGGTTCCCAGGCCCTGGCAGTCGGGCGCTCGGCGGCGCGCAGGTCGTTGTCGGTGATGGTGATCTCTGGCGTGACGTACCAGTTGCGGCCCAGGCCCTCCCCCGCGCGGCCCTTCTCGGTCAGCGAGGTCTCAGACAGCGACAGCGCTGCGTAGCGTCTGGGCGAGGTGGACAGGTTGACTACAACTGGTGCGCGCCGGCCTTCGGGGGATGAACCCCGGGTGTCCCGCACCTCGCGCCCCAGCAGGTCCTCATAGCTGCGGCCACGTCCCAGGGGGTCTTCCCGGCGAGGACCCGGCGCTAGGATGTTGTCCCAGGATCGAGAGTAGTGGCGGCTGTCTGTGACCAGCCGGGGCGGGCTCGTGCCGGTGCCACCGTGCCAAGAGGCCAACAGTGGTCCTGGCCCGGGAGGAGGCGCCACCTGCAGGGTGCGATAAGGCCGCGGACCCCAGTCGGCCCAGGCTGGGCTGTTTCGCGGGTGTGGATAAGTCCGAGCCAGCGCATCGCGTTCCCGGTACCGCCCAAAGTCTTCTGTGTAGAAGGTCCGGGCGCCGGAGTGTGCCCGGGGCTCCTCGGGAATGTAGCGGGAACCAAAGGGCAGGCCGTAGGCTCGAGGGGTCTCCCCGTAGTAGGAGCGGGAAGGGGGCTCCTGGATCGGGAAGGTGCGCGCATCCCCTGGATAGTAGCCTCCCCCGCGCCTTGGACTGGGTCGGGAGGGTTCTTCCAAGTAGGAGCAGTAGCCATCGAAGGGAGGGCCTGGGCTCATAGTAAAGCCGCCGGTGTAGCCTTCGGACTCCTCGGTGTAGAAAAATTGGGTGGGACCTGGGGGTGTTGTGAAGGGCTGACTGCGATGCTCCGCGTAGTCCCGAGGCCCAGGAAGGGGCCCATCACAGTACAGTGCCCGGGGGTCTGTACAGTACAAGTCACTGGGCGTGGGCGTGCGTGACAGCGCCACGTGGCGGGGTCCGGGAACCGTGAGGCCGTGGAACTGTGGGGCGACGCGAGCCCAGGGCGCGGCCTCGGCGGGCACGCAGGGCCTGGAGCCCCGGGTGGCGTGCTGCAGCACTGCGTCATCAGGCTTGATGTCCAAACGGCAGCGGACGTGGGGCGCAGGTCCTGAAAGTGGATCCGGAGGTGCACAGCGGCCTGGGGCGGCGCACAGAGGCGCGATGCGGCCGGGGCCGCCCCGCTGTGGCTGCAGCTTGATGGGATGCAGCTCGTTGGCGAGCGCGCGCAACGCTGGGTACGAGGGCTCGCGGCGCGGCGACCCCTCGGCCCGGGCCACACGCTGGGTCTCCCGACTTCGACGCGGCAGCACCGGCGGTGAGGATGGCACCGGCGCCAGGCCCTGGGGCGCACGCGGCGCGCTCTTGGAACGGGCGCGGCGCCGTGTCTCGCCGTCTCGGGGTCGTGCACGGGGTGGTGCGGGCTCCGCAGGTGGCGGCTCTGGGCGAGTCTCCATGGCCGGCCCGTCCAGTGCCTCTAAGAAGTCGAAACTACGGCAGTGGCGCTTGTTGAAAGGTGCGGGCGCAGCAGGCCGGGCCATGGATCGCTCACATGGCTGGCGTCTGGACGCAGGCCCCGGGGCCGCCACCTTGATGTCCTGGTACACGGTCGACACCAGCAAGTCCGGTGGGTCCGTGCGGGTCATCTTAAAAGACGTCCCCAGGCTGGCGGCTCCAGTCACTCTACCTTTTGGGGCCTTTGCCCTGGGAGGAGATGCGGGTCAGGGCAGCCCCCTCTGCATCCCAAGCCCTTTACCCCCATCCCACCCCTCGCGCTGGTCCGGCTTACCTGGGGCATAGGGGGTGGAGCAGCCATGGCTGCCCGCCTCGGCCAAAGCTTCTGGAGTTGGCGCCATGACTATGTCAGAAGTACCTGCAGGAGGAATCCCGCTGTCAGCCAGCCTGTGGGCCAGGAGGACTTAGTCTTCTGTGGACCCACCTTTCTCTCCCCACAGGGAACTCCTGTGCTGAAGCTTCTAGGCCTCACCCCACACTAGACACTGCTCGGTAGGCTTGGGTAGACAGACCCCTGGATGGGTCGACAGGATGGGACGGGGATGGGGGGTGGTCTCTGGACTACTGCCCTCTGGTGACCACAGCTGGAAGGAAGGGCTTTTAGATTCCCTAACAGGTGCGCCAGCAGCACTGCAGAGCCTCCCCTCTGTAAGTAGGGAGTCCTGGCCTGCTGACCAGAGAGTAGAGAACCCCTTCCCCCCAATGTTGCAAGGGCCCTTGCTCATGGGACAGTCCTCTTTACCCAAGCCCAAGTCCCCTCAAATTGGTATGGTCCTGGCCAGAAGAAAGGCCCCAAGGAGGATTCTTGGTTTTCAAATCCCTCTTCCTTCTGCAGAAACCTCTGGCTCCAGCTCCTTGGGTGAGGTGCACTGAGCTTGTTGGGGCAGAGAAGAGAAGGCTGCAGAGTGAATCTCTTCTGCTTTGTTTAACTGCACATGGACAACCCCCCATGTGCGCTTGGCATCCCCCAAACCAGGTCCAGGCTGCAGGACCACGTGGGTGCCATGTGAGACACAAGCTCATGGTGTCCTTCTTCCTCTGAGCTGCAAACTAGTCCTGTCCTGGTGTACCAAGCCAGGAGGCTGCCAGCCAGGAGGAGGCAGGGGAGAGGGTGGGAAAGCCCCTTCCCCCAGCCCTCCCAACTCTGGCTCCGGAAAGCTCCAGGGAAGCCTGTGGTTCTACAGCCCCCATCAGTGGGCTGGACAGGATCTAGGCTCATGCTCTGATGTGGGCCACCAGTGTCTCTGTGGTCCCTAGGGCCTGGGGCTGACTGGAGAGAGGGGTTCAGAAGGTGGTGACAGGCCCCCTCCTCCTCCTCCCACTAGGCATCCACTTGGAGGGCATCTGCTCCAGTAAGCTGAGTGCTGGGGGCTGGAAGGGCTGTGGGCCTTTCATGGTCCCCTGTCCCAGGAGCTTTCTGCTGCCAGGGCTGCTTTTGGGGGTCAGGGCTTCTAAGTACCTTGCTCCAGTCCTAGTCTCATGCCCACCCCATTAGGACCCCCTTTCATCCTAAACTCAAGGCCAGGTCAGAGTCTGGGCTGGATGACAGGGTCTGAGGCTCCGCCCCAGGGAGGTGACAACCGGCTTTGGTGGCTGTGGCTATCAGGAGCTGGACACTGTGACACCCCCTCACAGTGGAATGGGGGTGGGGTGGGGCCGGCTTCTGTATCCCAGGCCTTTCGGAGACCCTTCTCATACAGCGGCCCTGCCCTGGCCTGTCCCGGAGCGGCCATCGCGGGGACCCAGCCTGCGTTGCTTGGGGGCGGGGACTTCCCATCCTTTCGTGCAGCTCCACCCGTGACAACGGCTGCACACGATGGGCAGGTTGGCCCGGTCTCTTACCTGGATGTTACTCCACCAGCTGGTCCAGGGTGGGCCTCACAACCCCAAGTCAGCTCCGGTTTGTCCCTGGCACTGCTATGTCCCCAGCACCGGTAGAAGCTTCCAGGCAGCAGCACTGATCCTGCCCTAGTCGCTCAGTGCTGCCCCCAGTGGCGGTCAGTGGGGTGGCATTTAAAGGGGCCGCGCCGAATGGGGGCTGTGCAGTCGGGCTCAAGACACCAGTGGTCTCGCTAGCCCCTGTTTGGGGCTGTGCAGAGTGCAGGGTGATGGGTCCCTGTGACTTCCCCGGAGCACAAGCCTCTGAGTCTGAAGAGGACACTCGTGCATCAAGATAAGTCTGCAGGTGCCCCCGGCTCCACCTCCAGGGTGTCTGCAGGGAGGGTTCCAGGAGCCCCGAGCCCCTGCCTGACTGTGGAGACTGAATTTGGGCAGCTTCCGGAATGTATGTGTGTGGTTGGACCCAGGTGGAAGCAGATGGGCGACTCTGTACCCCATTGGCCTCTCCCCCAGGCACTTTCCTTTTTGGTGCTGGAGACGCCAAAATCTCGGCAGGTACCTGGGGCCAGATGGCTTGCTCAGCCTGGAGTGGAGCTGAAGCCTGGAGTGTCCAGGCCAGCCTGGACGGCCACTGCCCGCTTCCTTTGGGGAAGGTATGCGATCCACGGATAAGCCGCAGCTTTAATCCAGCCCTTGCCCAAGGCAGTGTGCCTGCCAGCATTCCGGCGTGGTGGATGTTGGGTCACAGATGCCCTCAGCCCCGAAGGTGAGACCTGCCTTGGTCTGTTGGGGTTCTAGACCCGCTAAGACGCCAGTGCTGCTCACTGTGCAGACCTGGGCTACTCTGTTTACTGTAGGCTGTCTCCACGCCAGGGGTTCCAAAGCCGGGAACTACAGGGCCAGGTGGTGCTTGTCCCCCAGTACCTGCTCAGCGACCAGCAACCAACTGTCCTATGCTTCCAAGATAGTTCCCCAGCTTCGGAAAGCCCTCTAGGCCACAGCCCCCCCCGCCCCGCCCCCAACGTCATTAGCAGCCTTTGCTGCTCCAGCAGGCCTCTGGAGGGTTCTCATGGCAACGTGTCAGCAGTGGGCGGGGGCGGAGCACTGCCGGCGGGGGTGTAATACTCGGATGATGCCCCCCCCAGCATGCAGGGAGGCGGAACAGACACAACTGCCTTTAACAGGACCCAGTCTGTAACCCCCCCAGTAACCCAGTGTAGGCCACAGTGGGGCGCACTATAAACCGTGGCCTGGCCTCTGATTGACCTGCTGTGGCTAGGTCCTAAGTCCTGGGGCCACCTTCGGGCCAGCATTCTGGACGACCGCCTAACCTTTATAAGACAGCAGCTTCTTGAAAACGGCTCTTTGGCTCTGCCCAGGCCACCTGGACCAAAGGTTGGTTTTACCCCATGCAGCTTAGAGTGCCAGAAAACAGAACAGTCACACACCCGGTAAAATCAGAGAGCTTTATAATCTTGGTGGAGTGTCTAAGAAGGCGCCGGCTAGGCTCGGCTCACCTGCGCAGGCGCTCAATGGGCAGAGGCGCAGCTGGTGCACAGCGGCAAGCTGTTAGTGCCTCTCCCAGGTGAGGTGGTGCACGCTGTTCTCTTGCCAGCCTTACTCAGTGTAGGGCCTGGGCCACCTTACAGTGGCAGATGCTGCCACACCCTCCCAAGTACGTGTGTGTGCTCAGGGCAGGGGCGCACTCTGCTCTGGATCCATGGGGAGGGGAGTCGACAGCCCAAGCCATGCTATGGCCCTGGGAGAGCTCGGGAAGGCAAGCAGGAGTGGGGCTGGGTGGTGGATGTCTGAGAAGCCAAGCAGCCCCACACCCTGCCTCTGTAAACAGACCCTGGGGGACCCCTTCTCGGCCTCAGTCACATCCCTGAGAAACATTGGGGACTGGCAGCGGCTCGCTCTGGGGAGGACCCGGTGGTTCACCAGGCCGGCTGCAACCCTGCTTTGTCCCCTCCCTCCCTGCAGAGCAGGTTTCTTCTGGGTTTAGGCCCAGCACCTGCAGTGCCTGGCCCAAGGGCCTGACCACCAAGGCCTGGCTTGGGCCTCCAGTACAGAAATCAGCATAGACAGGCCAGACCACATGGGGGCAGACATAATGGCTGGGGACATGAGATGGCAGGGTGGTCCTGGGGTCTTGGATGCACAGGCAGCAGTCTCCTCACTCAGCCACAGGCAGTCCCTCTCTTCCCAGGCCAGTCAACTGCCCCTGGCAGGCCTAGAGCTCCTCGTAGTCCCCGCCTCCAGGGTGTCGGCTGCCAGCGGCCCCACCACCCAGAAAGGCCTCCAGCTCGTCTGTGGCCTTCTGCTCCCTGCTCCTCGGGGGCCTCCTCTTCCTCCTCCTCTCCTCCTTGCCCTCCTCCCTGTCCTTGCTCTTCTTATGTTTACTCTTCTTTTTCGTAGCTTTTTCTTCCTCCTGGAGGCCGTGAAAAGGGGGCACTGGAGTCAATGGGCAACAGGCGAGGCCGCCCCTACCACCTTCCTGGAGTCCAGGCTGCCAGGCCAGCGGAGGGCTGTGAGGGCAGGGCGGCTGTGGCGGGTGGGGTGGGCGCGGAGGGCGGGGCCGTACCTCTTTGCTTTTCTTCTTCTTCTTCTTCTTCTCTTTGGAAGTCAGTTTGCTGTCCTTATCTGCAAAGGAAAGACGATGAACTCCTGCCTGTAGCTGCTTTGACATGGTCAGGCAGAGGCAGCCACAAGCACCCCATCCCAGCAAGCACCCCATCCCAGCAGGGTCTGGTCCCATGGGTAATCTAGGGGTTGGCATGTACTTTTGTGCTGATGTCCCTTAAACCAGCCTTGGAGGAAATTCCTCCTTCTCCCTTTGGGGTTGAGAACCTGTTAGTACACCCTGAGTTAAACTGCTGGTTAGGGTAGACATGGTCCAAATCTGCCCGAGCTCCAGCCCCAGGCACACCATCAACTAGGCAGTGGCCCTTCTAACACAGTACTGTCCCAAACCCCTATGACACCAGAAAGTCCAGGATGTTGGCACAGTAGTTGGCATGTGCAGCTGGGGATCAGTGGCTCAACCCCTGGACCCATAGGGATCTCTGAACAGGGTGACAGGGTTTTTCCAGAGACCAGTAGACCAGCAGGGTGCTGGCCTTGAATGGATGGCCATTCTGGTTGGATAGAGCCCTGAGCCATAATGCAGTGTCAGGCTTGGGCATGTGGTTGCTTTGGTCCTGGTCAAAGCCAAGAGGTATGACACAGCTGGCTCTTTTAGAGATGCTCACAGCCATAGCTGGGGCGAACAAAGAAACCCTAAGCAGGCTAAGTATTCCAAACACAGGGCTACCAGAGGATGAGGACCACCAAGTTATACCAGGCTCCAACAAGGGACAAGCTCCAGGCCCTCCTACCTTCATCACTGCTCTCCTTGGGTTCTGTCTCCTCCAGGCCCAGCCCAAATAGATCCGAGTCATTCTTCAGTCTGAAGGAGGGGACTTGGGGCTTGGAGGGTGGGGGTGGCTGGGCAGGGCCAGTTTCCTCATCAGTCCCATCAGAGAGGTCTTCTCTCACTGGGAACTCACCCTGGAGAGGAAGCAGCCGGTAGCCTACTGTTCCTTATCATCCCATGGGACTCCTGAAGCAAGATGGCAAGTCCCCTTGGGACTCTAGCAGCTGGGGAGCCCCCTAACCAGACCCAGATTCAGAGGGGCCAGCATGTGGACAACAGACCCAGATTCAGAGGGGCTAGCATGTGGACAACGGACCCTCTCCCACGGCCTCTTGTCCACTGTTCCCAGTTCAGCATCAAACAGGACAGGAAGCCAGGACTGTGCTTTGGGGGGCACTAAAGCCAGGAAGGTTTTCTTGTTTCTCCTCAGGCTCAGCCTTGGGGCCTGGACCTTACTGCTGTCCTCTATCTCTGGAGGGATGGAGGCTGAACTTTCCAGCTTGCAGCCTGTCCTTACCACTTTCCGCTGTGAATCGGATTCATCACTCTCAAAGTCGGGGTCATCCATGACGAAGGACAGCATTTGGGCAGCAATAGGCCCCTCAGGATCACTTTCTGATGACACCTGCTTGTCCTTCCCTTCCTGGGGTCTGTTAGAGCTCTCAGTAGGGGGCTTGGTACTGCTGAGTTCAAGACCTGAGCCAGCAGTGAGGCCACCTGACCATGGGTGCTCTGTGACTCCTGGGGGAACTGCCTTCTTCTGTGGCCGTGAGGTCTTGGTGGAGGACCTTCACATTAAAAGGAATGTCAGGAGCTCTGAGGCCACCCTGGGCTGTCCCTTCCTCAGCTGGCCACACCCTGGGGACCCCTGCCCATACCGTTTCGTCTCTGGCTCTGAACATTGCTGAGGAGCCACTCTGGGGTGGCTTGCCATTCCTTCAACTTCCTCCTCACTCGAGAGGCTGATATTCTTACTGGGGATGGGGTTGGAGGGCAGCAGGGATTTGCCACAAGGCTGATCTTCAAGGTCCACATCATCCTGGAAGCCTGCCACCATTGGGTTTCCTCCTAGGGTCTCCCCATCATCACTGCAAAAGAGTGGGTGATGAGACGACTTGAGGCCAGCTATGCGCTGCTGATCCCCACCCCACTGACTGTGGAGCTGCCCTGTCCATAGAGGGCCATGTTCTAGTGCCAAGACCTCTTTGGGCTGTCACTGAGGCTGCTGAGTCGCCTGGAGTAAGGAGTGAGGGAAACACAACCTTGTTGCTGGCCAGTGGGTGATTGAGAGATGAGGAGCCCAACTCAGGGGCTTCTGGGCTTTAATCCATTTGTGCTTCTGGGAGGGAGCCCTTTACCCCTATGGACACAGCAATGCTGGAGATGATAAAAGCCACCCAAAATGGGACTTGTTGTGGGAGTGATCTCAGAACTTAGCTGTGGACAGGTTATTGGGGTATTCTTGGCAAGCAAAGAGGGGTGGGAAAGGCTTACTGCAGGAGGCCAGACCGGGAACTGTACAGCTCAATGTGCCTGGCTCCACAAGAAGACACCCAGGAGGCTTTCCCTGTACCTGATACCGCCTGGGTCATGTGCCCAGGGTGCCCCATCCCTGCTAGGCCACCTGCTAAGGCTTCTGCTGGAGGACTCGTTTGATCTTCTCTCATCTGCGATGGCCATAAACCCTGCTCTCCTCCAGGGTGGGCTGACTGCCCAAGTGTCTCAGAGCGGCAGTTGTCAGTCTGAGCAGGCCTCTGATGCATGGCCTGAGCCCTTCTAGAACTCAAGTCCTCCAGTCACAGTTCTGCTTTTGTTCGCAGAGCTAACTGTCAACCCAGTAAGCCTCAGAGAGGCTGTGCTGGCCCTAGGAGCGAGGCTGTGCTCAGCTCCACCTACCTGTCACTATCCTGCTGTGGGCCTTTGACCCCGATCTTCTTGTCTTTAGGCAGGGTAGTGTCTTCCAGGAAGCTGTGGTCAAGGCCGTCTTCAGGGACAAAATCCTCAACCTTCTGGACTCTTGCTGGAGCCTCTGGAGCTGGCACTGGCTCTGTAGACAGACACTGGTTCCTCATGGAGTTCCTGCCCCAAGGCCAGGCAACCCCTAGAGCTGTGCCTGTAGGACTGGGACTTGGAGAATGGGAAGGTGAATTATACCCTGGTTAGAGGTCATAGGCTGCATCTAGAGCTAGGTCATGGGGCTGCTGGCCCACGAGAGGAGCTCGTCACGGGGGACGGGGATCACATTCCCAGTCTGTGATGCATGAGGCAAGACACCAGAAGCTGGCTCTCAAGTTCACATATTGAGGGTTGTTCCCAGGTCTACCTGGAGGTGAAGGGGTCACATCTGCAGCTGCTGAGGTCCCAAACAGCCGAGAGATGATACTGCGACGCTGGGCTGGAGCTGGAGCTGAGGCGTGTGCAGAAGGGGGTAGGGCCTCCAAGGGGGGTGCAGGGGATGGTGCTGGAGGACAGGCAGAGGGGGCACTGAGGGGCAGCTGGGACGCAGGCTGGGGTGTGCTGGGACTGGAGCTGCCTGTGGATACAGCACTTGGAGGCACAACTGGCGACTGGGAGCCTGAGGATGGGCTCTGCCCATTGGCTGCCAGAGGGGACGTGTGGCCTCGACTGCGAGCCTCCATCATTTCGAGGAAGCTGGAGGGACGGGCAGAAGAGATGGGAGTGAGGAGCCTGGCCTCCTCTTACCCCTCCTCCAAGGCCCCTGGGCATCAGTGCTCAGCTTGCACTTACACTAAGAGGGGTGGCTGGCTGGTAGGCAGAGGACAGGGCCTAATGCCAGCCAGCTGCCCAGTAGCCTTTGCTGCCAGCAGGTAGGCCATTCAGACTATGCTCTGCTCACCCTTCTTCAGCACTGAACTCCCAAGGCCAGGCTGTCCCTCCACACTGACATCAGCATGGGGAACTAAGTCAGCAGGTAGGGAGCCCCACAGCACAGGGACACAGGGCCAGAGTCTACCAGGACCAGCTGGTCTTATGAGGTTCAAGTGGCTACCTGCAGCACCCTGTGGCCAAATACTAGTGACCATGAGGTGTGGCTGGTTCTGGACAGGGAAGCAGCAACATAAGCACTGCCATAACCACAGGCTTGTGCTGATCCACACGCAGGCCCTCCACTGTGAACTGTGCCAGCAACCGTACGGGTGTCCTATAGGATCTGTTGGACTTAAAGCACTTGGGGATGTAACATGCCTGGATCTACCCTCAGGAACATCTGCTCTCACTGTCTCTAAGAACCAGGAAGATGGGGGTGCTGAGGCTGCTCCTCAGCAGAGCAGCTCTATTCATGTCAGTACCCTTCTTCTAGACAAGTGTTGATCAGACTGAATGGTTCATGATTACACGTTAACAACTAAAACCTCAATCGAGCAGGAAGGCTGTGGTTACAGCACGGAGCGCCTGTCCCAGGAGCCTGGGATGGGCTGCTGAGCCACAGTGGCCAGCTACTCTACTCACATTGTTCTACAATGACTACATATGATCTTGGCTGAAGAACGCTTAGGCTGACTATCTACCCTTTGAGTACAGTGCTTTCTTCACTGTCTTGCTGGTACAGACCAAAGCCTGGCACCTGTGGACACCAGAGTACACTGGCAACAGATGCAGTACCCACCCTTCCCACTCTGGGACAGTCAAGGCCTGCGTGTCTGCAGATACAAGCTCACATACATGCTGTAGTTCTGGTCTTCAGTTTCCTGTTGCACTGACAGCTCCTCTAGTGTAGCGTCGATGTCTAGCTGGTTTGTCTCCAGCTGCCGCAGCAGTGTTTCCCTCTGTAGAGGAAGTAAGTACAGATGAGCAGCATGTCCCCACCTCACTGTGAGAGGCACAGGTACAGAAACCTGCATGGTCAGCTGCTGGGGCTTAGAGGACAGAGGACAGTATGTGGAGCCACAGCAGAAAGCACCACCTTCTGTTAGCACATCACACACCCAGACCCTAACCCTAACCCTAACCCTAACCACACTCCTGTGGTAGCAGGGCCTGGCCTGCCTTCCTGTTAATCCAGCACTCAGGAGGCAGATGCAGGCAGATTAAAAAAAAAAAAAAAAAAATTAGTTTTATATTTGAGTATATGTACCAGGAGAGGGTGTCATATCCCTTAGAACTGGAGTCACAGTTGGTTGTGAGCTGCCTGACATGGTACTGGGAAATGAATTCAGGTCCACTGCAAAAGTAGCAAGTGCTCTTAACTGCTGAGCCACCTCTCCAGCCTTGAGCTTTTATCTGGGGTTGGTCTCAAATTTGTTAGGTGGCTGGGGATGACCTTGAACTTCTTGCCCCCACCTCCCCAGTGGTGAGATTACAGCCATGTGCCACCACACATGGTTTATGTGGTGCTGGGGATTGAACCCAGGGCTTTGTGCTTAGAGGCAAGCATTCTGCTAACTAGCTATTCCCCTATCCCCAAGTGTTTGGAGTATCTCTGGATAAAACAGAGAAGGTTGTACTTTATTTACTTCTGGGATATCCAGGTCAGGTGAGAGACCAGAGGTCTGGGTGCCCATCACCCTGTCAGGAGACAGTGGCTATCAGATCCCTTGCAAACACTCACGGTGGGAAGCTACGCTGGTCTGGGTACCAGTTCAGACATCTAGCTCCAATGCTTGTCCTGGCATCCCTTCGTCTACTTTGACAAAACCTTCATGGAGCAGAGGAGCCATGCAGCAGTGAGGAGCTTGTAGAGGGCAGTCTACCTGGCGGAGGGTCCTTAGGACCCTGCACACATGGCCTTTTCCCAACCTAGGGCTCTTCAGCACAGCCCTACCTGCAGGAACCTCATGTTTCTCCAAAGGAAACAGGAGGAAAAGGAACGCTTCGCTTCCCAAAGCAATTGTGGTGTTTTGGATAAAGTATGACGTGTCCCTAGACCCAGTAGTGGCCATAGTGGCCACAGGTCTCTAGACACCAGAGGGTGGCCCAGGCCTGGTTTGCTCTTCTTTTGTTCACCACACAGGGCTTCTTACAGTTGTTTCATCTCGAGAGGTTTGACTCGAGGACGGATCCTGTTCTTTTGCTTAGGACCCAGAGCCCTGCCTCACCTCTGCCCACTCTGCTGCTCTCCTGGCTCTGGGAAGCCATAGTACCTCAGAACCAAAGAAACAGACACAGGGCTTCTGTACTTTACAATACTTGCTGTCCTTGAGGCTGGAATGGTGGCTACAGCTCCCAGCCACAGCTGCAGCCCACGGAGCTGTGTCCATAGCAGAAACCCAGAGGAGCCCAGGACTTCTTGGGTAGTATGGTGCCCTCCTTGCCCCATGACAAGGCATGTGCAGACCACAGCTTGCATGATGAGGTGCTCAGAAAGGGGCCTTGTCTTTGTGGTTTTCTGCCTAAACTCAAACCAACATCTAGCTGGATCCAAGTGAGGGACAGTCTACAAGGTATTGTCCAGTCCTAGAATAGTCAAGCCCACTCCCAACATAGTTCAAGAGGAAGATAGTTCATGCAGGGTAGGGTCCTGGAGGGCACATGGATAGAGGAGGGTGGTACAGATGGAGCCTTGGGTTTAACTCCTTTGGCTTTGACAAAAGTGTAGAAATACAAGATATAGCTGGGCATGGTGGCACACGCTGCCTTTAATCCCGGCAGAGGCAGGTGGATCTCTGTGAGCTCAAGGCCAGTCTGGTCTACATAGGAAGACCCTGTTTCAAAAAGACCAAAAAAATAAAAAACCCACAAAATACAGGCACACACCTTTAATCCCAGCACTCGGGAGGCAGAGGCAGGTGGATCTCTGAGTTCAAGGCCAGCCTGGTCTACAGAGTGAGTTCCAGGACAGCTGGGGCTACAGGGAGACCCTGTCTCAGAAAGACAAGGACTACCAAGGACTGGGACTTGGGACTGGATGAAGATACAAGGACACTCACTATCCCTGTAGTATTTTGAGACAGGGTCTCAGTCACTCCAAGTTGGCCTTGAACTCATGTAGCTGGGATGATCTTCACTGTTCATCCTACTGTGCCCCTTCCCAAAGGCTGGGACTCAGGTGAACACCAGGATGCTCACACTGTAGCTTTTGAGACTGAGGTCTCCCACTTGTTGAAACTCACTCTGTAGCTTTAAACTGAGGTGATCCTTCTGCCTCAGTCTTCTGGTTGCTGGGCATGTCACCACGCTTTAGCCTCTGCCCTTCTATACATCTAAAAGGCTCAACCTCGAGCCACCCCACTCACCTCAAACGCATCTGGAAGGCTAGACGCTTCAGGAAAGGGCACAGCTTTGTTTTCTGTCCTTAGCAAGCTGGCCAGGTCAGCCCGGCCCAGAGACAGAGCTACAGAAGCTGCATGTTCTGGAAACTTCCTCTTGATGATGAGCACCTGTGTGACTGGCACCTCCACAGCTATGAATGCTTCTGGTGAATGGGGGTTTGCACCACAATCAATGCTCCACAGAGGCACTGTCTTCAGGATGACTGCTTAGGGGCAGAGAATGTTACCCTACCTTTGGCCCCCAGGGTCTGACTGCTGTGTGTGCCAGCTCTAGCCCATTGTGCTTACTGGTAGCCAGCTTCTCAGCAGGTACCCCAAGGGGTGTTCAGGCATAAGGAGGTCATCTTTGGAGTCACAGAAGGGAGTGCCAGCTGCCTGTCTGTCGAGAACTCACCTGTAGCTGAAGAAATGGGATGTTGAAGAACTTATGCAGGTACTTCAGGCCAAAGCTATTCTTCATAGACGACTCAGCATAGCGGAAGTAGGAGGAGCCTGGAGGTCTGTGGTCGAAGAAAGATGAGAAAGGCCCTTGGTGGATGTGTGGCTTGACTCTCTTGTGTCTGAGCCTGAGGCTGCCTGTCTACCTAGCTTCCTTCTATTTTTTTTTTTTTTTCCCCTTTAACAAAGTCTTTTTGAGACAGGGTCTCCCTGTGGCCCCATCTGGCCTGGACCAGGCTGGCCTCGATCTACCGGAGTCCCCCTGCCCCACCTCCCAAGTACTGGGATTGAAGGTGGGAGCCACCTCGCTCTTAGCTTTCTTCTTGCAGCAGGTTCCTTAAGACCGTCTACAGCTGACCCCTCTAAAGAACTGGACAGGAGCCAGGCAGGCCACAGTCCTGGCATCTGGCCCTCAATCCTCTTCTGCTGCCATCCCACAGCAATCTAGGACTACGTGGGCTCCGGGGAGTCCACGGTGCTCCAGACCCCACCCCCTCTGGTAAAGCCACTGTTCCCCTCCCTGGACTAGGGCAGTGTCACTTCATTTCCAACACAGGTTGAGGCCTTATCTTTGCTGCCTCAATACCCACAAACTTCCAGACACAGGAGCAGGGCTCATGGCACCCACCTGTCCAGGTGGTCGATGAAGTCCCGTACGTCGTCTGGCAGAATGACTCGATGCTCACCCATGTCTCGGTAGTTGCCCAAGACACACACTGGCACATGGGTCGGCACTTTAGGAAGCTCCCGGAGGACGTAATTGAAGGTCCTTTGAAAGGGAAGGGCCATTTTAGCCTGAGCTGTGTGACCCCCAGGAAGCCGTGAGCATTACTTTTGGGTCTAAGATCCAACTCCCCAGAGCACTTGCCACCTCAGGCAGGGTTCAGAGATGAACAGCGAGTTCTGCAACCATCAGCCTGCACCCCAGCCCTGGCTCTCCCAGCATTCACTTCTCCTGTACCCCATACCTAGGTGCTCCACATGCCTGCATCACTATAGAGCTGCTTCAAGGGCTGGTGAGATGGTTAGGCAGTACACACCTAGAACTCTGTACTAACAGGGCTGAGGTAGGAGGGTCAAGTTCGGGCTACATAGCGAGTGCCTGGTCAGCCTGCACTAGATCGAGACCTTGTCCCTACAAAATAAAATGAACAAACAACTCCCAAGCAGTGAGTGTGTGACCCAGATTCCCTGCCGGGAACGCAGTGAGAACAGCACCTCTGTAACCGGCACCCGTCTTCCCTTTGGTGTCTTCCTGGGGTGGCTCCTAGGATGCTCACTGGCCTGCCACAGCAGCTGTGTGCACTTGATGCTCCATCCTTCACAGTCGGTGCTCAGGCTCTAGACATGGTCTGCTGCCATCCAGGCACTGGCTGAACCAAACATGCTAGTGTCCAGGGGTCTCAGAAACCAAGAAATGGCCGATACCCTTGTAGTTTGACAACTGGCACTCTGTGAGCCTAACTGCCCACAAAGCCTCATGGCTCCTAGAAAAGTGCCTGCGCTTCTTCCCTGAGCTGGTTCTGCTGCCTACCAATTCTACAGCCCGGGAACAGTGGTGTCCCCACGCTTGCTCGGCCCACCTGTTGGGTCCTCACTGCCCTCAGGGCATTGCCTTGTCCCTCTATCATGCCCACCCTCCCCCACAGCTAGGGTTCTTGTGAAGTTAGCCTGCAAAGGTGCTTAGAGGCCCTCAGTGTTCAGACTCAATTTCACATGAGCAAAAAGCTATGTCTCAAATACCAGGTGAACAGACCACCCCCACCCCCACCAGGAAAATGCTCATGTCTGCTCCATACCTGCCCGGGCTGCCTCTCTAGCCCCAATAGGCATCTTGCATTGTCAGTCTGTCAGGCAGATGACAGACTGTATGTGTACAGCAGCACTACAGGCATGCAGATCCCTGGAGGGTGGAGGATGGAGCTGAGCCTACGAGTGCCGTCCAAAGACCACAGGACTCATGCTGGCTCAGACCACAGCCAAGAAGGATCCATGGGTTCAGGACCCTCAGACCAGAATCAGTGACACGCAGGATGCAAGCTTCACTCCAAGGCTTAGCATGTGAACTTGTGAAGTTGGTACACTGGTGTGTGACTGATCTTACGCAAAAGAAGCAAATCATCTAGGCAGGTGTGGCACAGGCCCTGTACGTGTGTGATGTTAGAAAACCTGGCTGTCGTACACCAGCTATCAGCAGCGATAGCCTCAGGTGATGGGACAGATGACTTGCCTCTGATTTTTCCAGTGTTCTACGATGAACGCAGCTTATGCATACAACATTAACAACAGAATAAATGGCAATGAAAGACAGGATGAAAGCTCCAAAGGTCACTTCTAAACGTGATGCTTTTTACAGTGTTTTCATTTCATTGAGGAGACCAGGCCGGTCTTGATCTCAGAGATCCACCTGCCTCTGCTTCCCGAGTGCTGGGATCAAAGGTGTGCACTACCACACCTGACTTTATTTTTTAATATTTATTTTCTTTATGTATATGAGTGTATTGCCTGCATGTGTGCAAATGCACCCATGTCATGCAATGCCTGCGGAAGTCAGAAGAGGGCATCAGATCCCCTGGAACTGGAGTTATGGACAATTGTTGGCTGCCAGTGGATGCTGGGAATTGAACTCAGGTCCTCTGCAAGAGCACCCAGTGCTCTTAACTGCTGAGCCATCTCTCCAGCCCCTCGTTTTGTTTTTTCAAACATTTATTTACTTTTTATTTTACTGTATGTGTATATGCCTGGGTGTATGTTCGTGCATCATGTGCATGCAGGAGCCCACAGAGGTCAGAAGAGGACTTCAGATCCCCTGGAACTGGAGTTACAGATGGTTGTGAGCCTCTATGTGGGTGCTGGAAATAGAACCTAGGTCCTCTGCAAGAACAGTAAGCACTGTTAACTGCTGAACCTTCTTTCCAGCCCAGTTTTGTTTGAGACAGGGTCTCACTAGGTAGTCTTGGCTGGCTTGGAACTCACTATGTAGACCAGAATGGCCTTTAAGTCACAGAGATCTGCCTGCCTCTGTCTCCTGAGTGTTGGGACTAAAGGTGTGCTATTATGCCTGGCTACTATGGTGTTTTTAATTTTTATTATATTTATTTTATGTGTATGAGTGTATTGCCTGCATGTAGGTAAGTGCACCCATGTTGTGCAATGCCTGCGGAGGAAAGAGGCTGTCGGATCCACTGGAACTGGAGTTATGGAAGTTGTTAGCTGCCATGTGGGTGCTGGAATTCGAACCCAGGTCTTCTGCACGAACAACCAGTATTCCTAACTGCTGAGCTATCTCTACAGCCCCTTCTACAGTGTTTTTAGGAGGCTAGTTTTCAGTGTGGACAGAGCAAGAAAGACTTCAGGACACTTGGGAGCCTCTTGGGTATTTTCCTATTGCTGGTGGCTAGAAGGCTCCCAGTCCTATGCTGGTGTACACCATGCAACCTCCTAGGTGTGTCTCGTGCTGCCACCCCAAATATAGAGAAGCCTGGGTCCCAGAAGGCTTGCACCTGGTCTTTGTCCGCTGTTCTCATGAATCCTGGCTACATCTTCCTGATAAGTCACAGGGAATGGGTGTGTTTGAGTTGGGGTGCGGAGGTAGGGCATTTTTGGGAACTCACAACAGGCCACTTGATTCTGACAACTTTTAGATGGTGTCTTCAGGACAGGGGGACAGGTGGCACCTAATTCCTACCCGTTAGCTAACAGCTTGAGCCATCTGGTCCAGTCCCCCTGCTCTCTGCACATGGACCCAACTTGTCTTGTGGCATAGATGCCTCAGTCCTCTAGGTCAGGGGTTCTGGCCACAGCTGGCCCACACCAAGAGGGTGCTTGGCCTGTGAGGTCGTGTGGTGCCCTGTGAGGTCGTATGGTGCTATATGAGGTTGTGTGGTGCCCTGTGAGGTCGTGTGGTGCCCTGTGAGGTTATGTGCTACTATTTAAGCCTGTGGCCAATGCCCTTCTTACCACTGCTTGGTGATGTCGAACATCATGACCACCCCGTTACAGTTCTTGTACACATCCAGGAACTCAGCATCAAGGGCCATTTCAGACTCTGCCTGGAAAGAAGAGGAAACAGGTGGAAGACTGTCTCCAGTCAAGTTCCACAGTGTAGACCCTCAAACACCCAAAAAAGGCAGAACGGGGCTTTTTCTAATCTGAAAAGTCATTTCATTTGGGGGAAAAAAAAAAACCAAAAAACCCTGAAGGAATGCACTTCTGGGGGCGTACAAGATAAACGGTAGGAAATGAGTCAGGCAGCACACGCCATCTCTATGGGGAGGCCTGCTTGGGCTCCCACCAAACCTTGACAGCATCTGCCCCAAGTTAAGTGAGTGCAAGAGCTGTCAGCTGCTCTATACGACGGCTCCACAGGAAAAATGAAAGCCATAGAATGGTACTTTAAACCTGGCCAAAAAATCCATGGCTGGAGGGGTCATGCTAACGTCCAAGGCTGGGGAGTCAGAGGCCCTTGGGGACATGCTACTCCTCCTCCTCTAACATGGTAGGGAACCACACTGCACTCTTAAGTATTTATGTTCACATCCACAGACAAATGCTGCCCCCAGTCTTAATCTGAGAAGCTTCTCCTTTTCACTGCTCAAGGAGCTAGAGCACTGTTGAGTGCTCAGCCCTAAGTAGGACTCAGGGAACATCATGGCAGAGGCAACAGAAAGAAGCTAAGAGCCAGAAGACAGGGAGAAGGGCTGGGAAATGCTATCCTCAGGGCATGACACAGCCATTGCAAACATGATTTCACAGCAGTCACAGCTGCCTGCAAGACTGGGCCTGTTAACAGCCAATCATAGACTGGGGTTGGGGGAGGAACTGTGCTCAAGGGTCCTACCCCTGCTAAACTTCTGGTTACTGATAGATCCTAGGGGAAGGACAAGCATTATCTCCATAGTGCACCCAATGGAAGTACACCAGGCTCCAATGGATAATTCCAAACATGTGGTCACACAGAAGGTCCTGGTTAAAATCACTGGATCACAAAACAAAGACATGAATGAGGTACAGGGACTTGGAGGGAGGAGGAAGTGATGACAGGGTGGGAGGGAGAAGAGAGGGCAGGTGGTAAACAGAATGCTTTATAGATGTGTGAAATTGTCAAAGAACAAATCAATAAATAAAAATATTAGCTGGGTATGGTAGTGCATGCCTATAATCCCAGCACTTGAGAGGCAGAGGCAGGCAGATCTCTGTGAGTTCCAGGCCAGCTGGGGCTACAGGGAGACCCTGTCTCAAAAAGACCAAAACAAAATTTAGAGCTAGGTATGGTGGCACATGCTTTTGATCCTAGCCCTCAGGAGGCAGAGGCAGAGGCAGGTGGATCTCTATGAGATTGGGGTCAGTCTAGTCTACATAGTGAGTTCCAGGCTAGTTGGGGCTACAGGAAGACCCTGTCTCAAAAGACAAAACCAAACATATATATATATATATATACACACATATACATACACACACATATATGTATATACATTATTTACATGTGTATATATTTATGTACATATATGTAAATCAAACGAAGTAAGATGTGCTCCCACATACTACACAGAAAAAGGCTAGGTGGGATGGGTACAGCATTTAAACTCCCCACCTTGAAGAGGGAAGAGGCCTTCTATCCAATGAGGGAGAAGATACCCCAAGTGCTCTAAAACAAAGGAAGGAGTGTCCAGGAACCACAGAAAAGGGTGTACCACACCAGTGCTTCAGGGAAAAGACACTGAGCACCCCGTTCCACCCATGGGGCCAGGGCCACCCCTCTAATATATGTCAGCCCTTGTAAGGCCTAAGGCCACTGTGCTGGAGATATAAACTGTGGTCATGTCATTCAAACTCAAACTGAGTGTCAGTTCACTATGATGTCTGCTGTGTGAAGCAGAGAGCCCAAGTGGGCAGTCACCCTAAAATTCAACACCAGAGCACAGGGTTCTGTGAGCAGCTGAGGCCCGACAGCGACCACTGCATCCGCAGCACAACTGGCACGCTCAGGACCTCAGGATGGGCAGGAGGCCTAGTCTGAAGGGCTGGAAACTACCCTGAGTGCCATAGGTGCCTTGCTCAGGACACTGGCACAGACCCACCTGACAATGGGGCTCACCTCCTGGGGGTCGTTCTCCGTCTTCAAGCCATCACCTCGTTTTTTGCATTTTCCTTATTGAAGACAAACAAAAATTAGGGGGGTGGAACTGCTGGGCCAAGGGTTTGCCTAAGTGTGTGTGTAGGTACCTTCCTCGGTCCTACACTGCCCCCACGTGCTCCATGGAACTGTGCCCTGTTCAAGAAAGCATAGCAGCTCCAGATGCCCCTCACTCAGCCTGGGAGATGGAGAAATGGGCCTGGAGGGCTGGATGATACTTCTTCCAGGCCAGGAGAGTTGGATAGGAGGGATGTCCAGTCCAGGTCTTCCTTGAGGGAAGGCGCTCCTCCTGACAGCCCAGACAGTCAAAGCAGGGGGAGCCCAGAGCTGGAACCCAGACAGTTCTCTTGTACTTCCATGTTGCTGGCACTCACTGCAAGATGAGTAGAGCAAGGCCAGCACAACCTAACACTGCCTTTCATGGTTATCAAAGTCTTTCTGTCCAGGGACAGGTCCTGCATGGGGGTTGACCCTGGCTCTGGGGGTCCAGCCTGGTAAGACTGATATCACTGTCTCACCTCCCCTTCATGTCTAGACTGCTCACCACCCTGGAATCCCACAGCAAACAAGCATGCCCTCAGAACAAACTCAGGTTCATCTGCTTAAAACCTGGCCTCCGCCGGTCGTGGTGGCGCATGCCTTTAATCCCGGCAACCGGGAGGCAGAGGCAGGCAGATCTCTGTGAGTTCAAGGCCAGCCTGGTCCACATAGGGACTCCAGGACAGCTGGGACTACAGAGACACCCTGTCTCAAAAAGACCAAAAAAACCCCCCAAAAAACCAACAAACCTCAGCCTCCATATCATCTCCAAACTCCTACTTGAACGGCCTGCCGTACTCAGCCAGCCTGTAAAGTCAGCCCCACCCCCCACCCCTGAGGAACCTGACCCTCATGTGCTGAACAGTAGATGGATCTCCTCCTCCTATCCCCACTCTGAGGTCAGGAGCCTCCAGTCCAATCAGTATCTTCCACAAATTACTGAAGTGTTTGTGGACCCAGTTCTCAGGGCAGGAGGGAAGGGTTGGACAGCAGCTAGAGACCTGGCTGGTAGGACTGGGAGGTCAGAAGTAGTAAAAGCTTGCTGAGGTTGCTTCCTGTCACTGTCTTTCTAGAAGCTTTTCAACAAGTGTTTATGAGCTCTGCATTCACAAAGCTCAAGCTTGCTGAGCTGGACTAGCTGCCCAGCTCTCAGGACTTACTACTGCCCTTGAGCCCTAAGCTGCTTTACCCTTACTCACATCTGAAGGCCCTCTGCTGTTGTGGACCATGGGTGAGGAGGGGGGTTAGGGTTAGAGATTGAGGCCAGCCTGGTCTACACAGTGAGTTTCAGGCAGGCAGGTAGGGAGACCCTGACAAAAACCAAACAAAACCCAAAACCAAACAAATAAAAGTTTCTACCTATGGTGGGTGGCAATACTTGGCCATGAAGATGTAGGCACTCCTGGAGCCAGGACCTCTCTCTGCTGGGGTCCAGCCTGGTTCCAGCTAAGCAAGGATTTGAGTAGATGCCAGGTCATGGGCAAGTAGAAGGTAGCCTGGGGACTCTCCCAACCTAAGTGGTGTTTGAGTCTAGAACAGCGGGAGGAAAAGCACTCCATAGTTTCTGGGCAGGGAAAGTGTCAGTCTTTGCTGCACAGGCCCTTGAGCCAGCTAAGCCGAGCATCCACTTGGAAGGGTCCCAAGGTTAAGATGGTTGAATTATAGTCCCATCTGATATCCAGTCCCAAGTCCTGACCCGACTCTGACAAACCCTGTTTACAGGACAGTGCATCCCATCCAGCAGGTGCAGACCTGGGACCACAGCAGAAGTCACTGCAGTTCCAAAGTGGTGGTCCCTCCATGGGGGCAAAGGCAAGTGCATCCTGACTTGATGGGGTCATGGCTTGTGGACAGCTGGCTTAAGCCACCTGTGGCTTCATGTGGATCTAGCTCTTGCCTCACAGTAGATACAGCTGATGGACCTCAGATGGCAGAGCACCTATTGATGCTCCAGAGATGCACACATAAGCATGCACAGGAAGTGTGAGGAAGCATAAGGTCAACATAGACTCAATGGGTTAGGTTCAACTGGGCTGTATTCCTGCTGGAACTAGGGAAGACAGCAGCTTTAAAAACTCTGCTTGACCAACTGACCCAAACCCACCCCACAAATGAGGGAGGAGGGAGAAGAAGATAGAAACCACAGCCCATGGAGAAAAACCTTCCCGCAAAGCCCTGGAGCTGGGGATAGGTAGCAGAGCCATGCTGATGAGGCAGGGCTCAGGTCAAAGCTGTGCCTGCAAAGTCAGGGGCTGGGTGAGAGGTCCGAGGTCGTGTCTGCTAGATTAGAAGCCAAGTAGGTGATGCTGTATCTCTTAGATGAGAGGCAGAGTGGGAGAAGTCACATTGCTTAGCACCTCCTGCATGGTGCGTGTGCACACACACACACACACACACACACACACACACACACACACTGCTAGCTCTCACCCCCAGCATCACAGAGGAACTTGTGACCTCTAACATAAGAGGACAAGAGTGAAATCAGATGCCGTTATGAGGGCACTGAGGAGTCCTGTTGCCGCCCTCTGCAGGTCTGGATCAGGGTAGGTCTTTCTATGAGCTGGGGTCTACTCAGAAGTGCAGGAGCTGAATCCTTAGCTGTGGGCACAGGGGTGTCATATACATGGCCTCAGAATCCATCCCGAGCATAAGTTAAGGGTCTCTAGAAGCGCCGCCCCCCAGCTCCACCAGTCCTGCTTGTGGTCTACCCAGCCACTTTGGCCTAGTGAGCTACATGTTATATACAGGTCCCCACCTCCAGGTCACATGGATGTCACAGACAGGCTGCAATGACAAGATGTAACTCCAGCTTGCCAGCCTGCTCTCTAAACTCAGTTAAAACTCCTTGTGGGCAATCTGTTTGGATGATGCCCTGACCCAGACACAGGTGCTGGCCAAGACGCACATTCTCTGTCCCTGCTCAAGTCTTTGCTCCTGACTCCCATGGCTCTCCTGGCTCGGTGCCACCTTGCTTGCATGTTCCTTCTGTGATGGTGCTCTGCATCTGTACCTTCCAGCTCAATAATCAGGGCTGCCTAAGTCCCAGTTTTCCAGTGACAGAGGCTGGACAGGAAGCCATAAACTGGATCTGGGCCAGATGAGAGCAACAAGTCTCTACCAGTGAAAACAAGTTTCCATTAGAGGGACCCTGATGATGGTCAAACAACTAGGCACTAAACCATCACCTGGTAAAAGAAAATACTGCCTGGCAAGTGTACCCTGTGGGTGGCCAGGCCACCCCTCTGTCTCCCTTTGGGCAAAGCTGCCAGCCACTCAGGCTCTGGAACCCAGTATGACTGCAGGTGCTGGGCTGACACCAGGGTAATCACACAGGAAAAGGGGGCTTCTGAAATAGCTTCATGTGGGTAAGAATCTGAAGCACACCCATTCTGCTGAGAGTCAGCTGTTCAATAACTAAACAGATACTCAAGTAGCAAAGCATGTGTGAAAGGTCCACTGCTACATATCTACCCTGCCTACCATGGGAGGGAGGTGACCAGGACCCAGAACCTGGGCTAGGCTTGAGTGGGGTGTGGGAGGGTCAGACAGGGACTCTAGATGCAAGACAGATGTAAACAGTTGGCAGCAAACCCAAACCTCCCCCACTCCTGAGCGGATATACCTGGACTGGGTTAAATGGGACACGGGACCCGAGGGAGAGGAGTCCAGACCTGAGGTAATCAGCACAAGGACATGCACATGAGGTCGGAGTGAGGGGAGGGGCTGCCTCGGAGCCTATGGAACATTAAAGGAAAGATGCACCTTACCTTTGTCAACTACATCCCAGACTTCAACTTTCACTACATCGTCAGTGGCTGAAACAGAGAAAACCCTAAGATTAGTGCCTAGTTATCAAGAGTCCCTTCTGGGTTCCCCAATGGGGTCACTAGCTCCCCCAGGCCTCTGTAACACACTGCAGGGGTGGCAGGGCCATTCCTACCGGCCCTGGCATGAACACTGCGTCTGCTGGCCCAGGGATAAACCATACCAGAGTGCCTTACGGATTCTTGGGCTACTCCAGGCATCTGAGCAGATGCTCATACTCCAGATAGATGTGAATACAACACAGCTGCTTAGGTCACGTCCACCCATCCCCTCTTCTCCATCTGCGTAGGTCACGTCCACCCATCCCCTCTTCTCCATCTGCTTAGGTCACGTCCACCCATCCCCTCTTCTCCATCTGCTTAGGTTACGTCCACCCATCCCCTCTTCTCCATCTGCTTAGGTCACGTCCACCCATCCCCTCTTCTCCATCTGACTGGCCACTGTTCACGGAGGGGCGCAGGCTCAAGAATATTGTTCAATGTTAAGAGGCCAGGGTTCTGTGATTGGGTTGCCTGGGCAGGCCCAAGTTGGCTGTGGTGCTGTTACATGCCTCACAGTCCTCTACCTACCAGGCCACCTGGTTAACAGCTTCCTCAGGCTTTCTCTGGTGCTGACACCCAGTTTTCTGATGAGAAATAAAGCCTTCCAAGTTCCTGTTGTCTCTTCATCCTTCCTCTACAGCAACTGTCTACTTTGGAACATGCTGGTGCTAAGGAAGCTGAATGGATGGTGGAGACCCCAGGACCCAGAGGAGAGGGGGACCAGAGGTGAGAGGACCCAGAGGAGAGGGGGACCAGAGGTGAGACACTCATCATGTCCACCAGCGCTGAGCACATGTATTTCTGTGGCACATAGCAGACATGTGCACTGTTGGTGTGTGCTGGGCAGATCTGCTCCTAGAGGTGTCTAGGAAACGCTCATCTTTGAAGGCGTGTCCTCTCCTACTCTCCTGTAGCTATGGGTGTCCTGGGCCTGAGGCCCCAGCAAGAGGGAACTTCATAGATTCAGTCCCAGATGGAATGATTCATAAGCATTTTTACCGAGTGCTCCTAAAGCACCAAGAGTTTACCTGGGGGCTCCACACGGATTGAGGTATTCTCTCAATCTGAGAAAAGTGCTTTCCAGGAAGCTTTCCAGGGCAGAGGTACTGTCATGTGGGAGGGCAGACACTCTGCTGTGCACGGAGAAAAGGGGGCCTGCTACAGGCCTTGAACTCACTTTTGTAGTTCCAGTGGATGCTGGTGACCTGGATCTCCTGTGTGGGAATGTACTCTTCCACGAACTTCTTGCCCTGCAGCCGATGCCACAGTGCGGTCTTGCCCGTGTTCCTGTCTCCCCGGATTACAATCTTCACTGGGGCAAGGATGGGTAAAGAGAAAAGATGAATCAGTTATACTTTAAAACCTAACTTTGAGGCCAGGCATGGTGGCACACAACTTTAATCCCAGCACTCAGAAAGCAAAGGTAGGTGCAGCTCTCTGAGTTAGAGGTCAGCTTGGTCTACACAGCAAAAGGGCCAGCCAGGGCTACAAAGTGAGACCCTATCTCTCAACATGCATGTGCGTCCCCCACCCACCCCAGAGATTTAAAAGTAAATCTGCCCCAACCAACGTTCTCTCAGGTGACTGGCATCAGGGAAGATAATGTGAGGACAGGGCAGTTCCCCAGGAAGCCAAAGATGGCTGGGTGGGGCAGAGTCCCCAAAGTACACGGGTGCCTGGCAGTAAGTGGAAGGCAGCACCAAAGGCAAAGCCAGGGCTGGTGGGGAGAAAGTACCAGATTTCCTCTAAGCCTAGCTTTCTCCCAGAGTCAGATGTTCTGGGGAACTGCCAGGGTCACGGTGGGGCTACACAGAGTCTATCTGACCAACTGCAGAGCAGGGCCCAGGGTTGTGCTCCGGGTTTCTCTTGACCTGGTTTTCTCACAGTACTGGTGTTTTTTTTTTTTTTTTTTTTTTTGTCTTTTTGAGACAGGGTCTCCCTGTAGCCCCAGCTATCCTGGAACTCACTATGTAGACCAGGCTGGCCTTGAACTCACAGAGCTCCTCCTGCCTCTACCTCCCGAGTGCTGGGATTAAAGGTGTGCGCCACCATGGCCGGCTAGTACTGGTGTTTTTGGTGCAGTTTCACAGAAGTCTGCATCCTGATTCACCCTCTCTGCACGTGTGCCAGGCCTGCACCCTGGGGTAGGGACAGGCAAGTGTTGCAAGAATAGTATGGGTATGTTCCTTAAGCACCTCCATCTTTCAGAGAGTCAGCACTGGGTGTTCTGGAAGGGTAATGCAGGAGAGCAAGTTGGAGGTGTGTCAGGAAGGCTAGGAGTTGGGAGCAGGGGAAGGTGGGGATGAGCCTTACTCTTGGCCTGGAGGAAAACTAACACCTCGATAGGCTGGAACCTGAGAATGACCGAGGAGCTGAGGTGGGCAGTCCTGGGCGGCAGGGCGGGGGGGTGAGGTGCACGTGGTGAGGGCAGAGGCCGGACTTGTGCTTCTTGGGCAGCCTCACGGGATGTGCTGAGTTCTGACAGCACCACCAAAAGAACCATGAAGGGCAGGGACCCAGGCTGTCCTCAAGACTTCCGGGGGAGGGTCTGGGAAGGGTCAGGGAGACGTGGAGGCCTGAGAGGCAGGGCAAGGGGCAGCTTGCAGAGTCCTCCCCTGGCTTCTTTTCCCTAGACTGTCTGGTCTGCTTGCAGAATCATCAAGGCCCTTCCCATTCCCAAATCCTTCTGCAGTACCCAGAGTCAACAGCCACAGTGGCCTCACAGCTCAGCTGGACTCTGGGTACATGCCTGGGCCCAGCTGGCTTTCCCCTACTTCAAGGTAACTCTTTTCTCACAGACACTCATCCCTTCTCTTGAAACTTCTTCACTGAGCTAATTTCCTTATCCCACTCCACGTTCCCCAGACGTCCGCCCTCCAGCCACATCAAAGTATGACTTGTTTTCCTCAGACCTCAGGAACTCACTTCCTCCACCCTCTTATGTCACAAGAGAGTACAAGACCTGTCCCCCCAGGATGTCAGGCCACTGACTCCAACCACACAGGCTATAGCCATGCTCTAAGTGTGCAGAGCATCCGGTACGTGACTCAAAGCTAAACCCGTGAAGGAGCATGCGGCTCTGTGACAGCTCCAGGCCATGGAGGTCCCTACATGAGATTCGAGAGGCTCTAACTTGTTCCCCCTTTGCATGGAGGTGAGGTGGAAAGGCTACCTGCTCCAGGCAACAGCTTCCAGAGTCTGAAAGAGGCCACTGGCCATGTCTGAGGGGGCAAATCTCCTGTACTAGTTCCCAAATCTTTTTTTGAGAAAGGGTCTCATTGTGTAGTCCTGGCTGGCCTGAAACTACATAGACCAGGCTAGCCTTGAATTCACAGAGATCTGCCTGACTCCTAAGTACTAGGATTAAAGGCCTTGTGCCACACCATGCTTAGTGTCCCCAAATCTGTGAAGGACGTGACAGGGAACAAATGAAGGGTCTCTAGAGCTGGAGACAGTAGGGATGCCAGATATGGGGACCTAAGTGCCACTCTGCCCCAGAAAGGAACCCCAGGACTTAGTTTTCTAAGGATTTATCCATGACATCTTTTTTCCTAAATTTACTGGCATGACACCATCTAAAACTCTTGTATACTTTCTATTTCTAAAGCAACTGTAATTATGCTTATTTGAAAATTTAGGTTCTGGGGCTGGAGAGATGGCTCAGCGGTTAAGAACACTGGTTGTTTTTGCAGAATACCCAGGTTCAAATCCCAGCACCCACACGGCAGCTAACAACTGTCCGTAACTCCAGTCTCAGGGGATCCAACAGCCTCTTCTGACCTCCACAGGCGTTGCACGACACAGGTGTACTTATCTACATGCAGGCAATACACACATACACATAAAATAAAAATAAATAAAATAAAAAGAAAATTTAGGTTCATCAAATATCTCTTTAAGTACTTTCCAGGGAAATCAAGTTTTGTTGGGTTTTGTTTCGCTTTTTTCAGAAAACCAGCTGTCAGCCCTGTCTTCCATGTGCTCTGCCCGGCACAAGGTCAGTATCTTCCTCCCAGATCACATAACCCTTGAAACTTTCAATTCTGTCAGCACCACAGCATGCTCTGATTTTATTTTCTACTAACACGAGCTGGCTGTTGCTTGGATAATCTGAACCGCATCTATCTGGATCCCCACTCCCCTGCCTACCCCTGTCTCCTGTGCCTGCCCTGAAGGGTCATTGTCTTCATCCTCACGCACTTTATAGGCATCTGCCAGGTTCTGTTGCTTTATCTGAAAACATCTGTATTCTTAGGGCACTACAGCTCTAGTCTAGTGTTTTCAAAGCTCTGCCTGGGGCTGGAGAGATGACTCAGCTGTTAGAGCACTTGTATTCTTCCAGAGGCCCTGAGTTCAGTTCCCAGCACCCATGTCAGGTGGCTGACAACATGTAACTCCAGCTCCAGAGGATTCGATGCCTTCTGGTCTCCTTGGGCACCTTCACAGATGTGGTACACACACACATAGAAAAAGAAGCCAAGGTCAGTCAGGTGAAGTGACTCCTGGGTAAAGGCACTTGCTGCATACAGAAAGTTGTCTTCTGGCCCCATATGGACATGTCTGTACACCCCACATATACATAAAAGACAGTGTGGAAGCATACACCGAGCACTCAAGAGGTGGGGGGGGGTGGATCTGTGAGTTAGAGGTCAGCCAGGGGTACACATTGAGACCCTATCTTTTTTTTTTTTCTTTGAGATAGGGTCTCCTTGTAGCCCCAGCTACAAGCAAATACCTGAGATTGAGGCCAGCCTGGTCTACATAGTGAGTTACAGGCCACTTGTGGCTATAGGGAGACCCTGTCTCAAAGATGCCCCCCCCCCCCGCCACAAAGCCTTCCAGGTGCTGTGGTATATGTTAACCCCTCGCCCTAATAGTAAAATGTACAAGTCAAAACAAAACAAACTCCTCCCGTTCAGAGGAGGCTGTACCTTCTTTTTGGTCTTTGAGATAGGGTCTCCTGTAGACTCAGCTGTCCTGGAACTATGTAGACCAAGCTGGCCTTGAACTCACAGAGATCCACCTGCCTCTGCTTCCCAAGTGCTGGGATTAAAGGTGTGTGCACCCATACCAGGCCTGTACATTCTTTTTACCATCAATCCTTTTGGTGTCTGTGTCCTCATCCCTGAGGAACAGTCTTACATCATTTCTAGTGCTAGGTGCCTCATTCTCACTCCCTGCTATGGAAGACAAGGTGCTTGCTCAGTCCCCTGCCTGTCCTTGCTGTCCCTTTGGTATATTGATTTTTTATTTCTGTGGAAGTAACACGTGCTCTGTTTTTGCTTTGCTACATGTTCTTTGTATTTATCACGAACTCAACCCCAACCCTTCTTAGCTGCCTCCACCTTGAAAGCTTTTAAGAGGGTTTTCTGAGGGGAGTGTGGCTCAGTGATAGACTGTTTGCCCAGCACACACAAAGCCCTGGTTTGACAACCACTTTCCCAAAAAAGGGTTTGTTAACTGTTAACTTGTCATGTTCATCTCTCCCCCTAGTGTTTTGACTGGCCATGAGCAGTGTGGGGTTCTGACCCTACAGTAACTGCCTTCTCTCATGCTGGCTCTACACAATGCATTTTTTTTTATTCCATCATTTTGGTCATGGAAATCCTTCAGCATTTTCCTGAATAGGCAAATAGACCTTGTAAACCCAAGATGCCTTTACATGATCAACTTGAGTGTGACAGTAACAGAACACACTAAAAATTCCAGAGAAAAATTAAAAAGGATCATAAACGCCAGGCGTGGTGGCACACGCCTTTAGTCCCAGCACTCTGGAGGCAGAGGCAGGCGGATCTCTGAGCACAGTTATTTAAGGAGAGCCAGAGGATTGCCTTCTCTTTGATGAGCCTTGATATGCAGGTAAACAAAGCCCTGCTAACACTTCTCAGGTCCTTCAGCTGGTCTCTAAGTTCTGGGAGAGATAGATACTTCCTCCTTCCTCTGCCCAACAGTGTGTTTCAAGGCACAGTATATTAACAGACATATCGGAGGTGTGGCCTGAAGGTGATTTTCAATGAGAAAGTGAGAGCAAGTCTTAGTCCCACAATCTTCTAAAGAATACATTTCTCCAGTTGTAGGAATCTTCCACTGTGGCCCCATCAAACCCCTTTGCATGAATAAAGCGATCCCACCGATCTCTATCTGGCCTGTGGAGGTAGCCCAGGACAACACTGGCTGGGCTTGGACCTGTGAGCTCTGCTGGTGGGCAGGCGGATGCTGCCAGTCCTCACTGCCTTTTCTTGCTCTTCCTGTTATTCTCAGACACCATCAAGGACCTTGGCACGTGCTTTTCCTGAGGTTCCAGGTGCCCTGTGAGCACTCTCAGCCTAAAAATGTACATTCCAGAATTTTCTTGAACCAAAATTTTGGTTAATTTTTATTAATTTATGTGTGCACATATACATGTGCATTTGTGCCATGGCAAATGTATGGAAGTCAAAGGACAACTTACAGGAGTTGGTTTTCTCCTCTGTTGTACAGGACTGCCCTCCGACAGACAGAGGTCATCTGCCTGCACTCAGCTGGGCCCACTTGCCTAAGATCATCATAGCTGGGCTTGTTGGCCATTGACATCCTGCACCGGAGGGCAAGGAGAGACACAGACTGCCACCTGAGTATCCAGCCACACCTCCCAAGCAGTAAAGGGCAAGTTGGCCTTAGTTGCATGTGGCCTGGGGGAAGGGTAGAGTACATTGGCTGGGAGGGGAGTCTTGTGGGTTTTGTATGGCTTGGCAAGTGAAGACTTTCCATTTTGGCCTTGGGGGGGAAACCACACAGTTTTAAGTAAACCTTCACCCACCGCTTCTTGTAAGCAAGGTAAAAAGTATTTTGGTGGAATTATACCTCGGTTTGTCATTGGGACCAAAGCAGGAGGGGGTAGACATTGTTTATATCCCCCCACAAAAGGAATTTTAGCAACACCTTCTACCATGTGCCCCAGGGATTTTGTAGGCTTAGTGGTACCTCTACCTATCGAGTCATCTCACTTGAACCAAAATTTTTATGAATATTTCTTTTCTTTTCAATGTATATTTTTATTGAGTTTTTATGGATTTTATACTTTTTAATCATATTTAGAACTCTATCTGCACCGCCCCCCATAGCCTGCTCACAGGATCTCACATATTGTCTTATATGTTAAAGCCTAATGAGTCAGGTTTGTGTCCTTTTTTTGCTCTGTGTGGTGCATGCACATGTCATGTGGGTGGGTGCACATGTATGTAGGTTACATGGAGGCCAGAGGTTGACGTCAGGTGCCTTCCTGGATTCCTTTCCACATTATTATTTGAGACATGTTCTCACTGAACCTAGAGTTACCAATTGAATAGGATGTTTAGTCAGTGAGTACAGGGACTCACCTGTCTCCACTGCCCCAGTGCTTCCTCACCCAGTACTGGGGTTATAGATGTCAGTGCAAGTCACAGCCCAGGGTTTTACGTGGGTGCTAGGGGATCCAAACTCAGGTCCTGTTTGTGCAGCAGGCACTTTACAAACTATGCTATCTCCTCAAGCCCTTTAACGAATATTTTTAAAAGCAGTTTTAAATTCATAGCAAAATTAAACAGAAATTTCTCATGTGCCTCATGCCCATGCCATACCCTTGACAGATGTCTACCAGGGTGTCTGTACAAAGGATGGGATTACATGTTGTTATCCTCAAAGCCACAGTTCAAATGAAGGCTTTTTTCTTGGTGGCACATATTTTGTGGGTTTGGAGAAATGGTCAGTGACACATAAGCTCTACCATAGTAAACGGAATAGTTCCATTTCTCCAAAAATCCCGTGTTTCATTCAATTATGATTATACCTACTAGAAAGGACCTGTGGTATTTTCTGCCAGCTGCCTGGAACACCACCAAACATAGACCATAGTAGGCTCGCTCTCTACCTGAATGCTCTGTCAGACAGGGATGATTCTGAGGGCAGACTCAACTGGAGGTCAACCTGTGTTTGAAAATCCGAGGAGTGAGCCAGGCATGAGACAGGCAGAGGCAGGTGGATCTCTGTGAGTTCCAGGCCAGCCTGGTCTACATAGCAAGTTCCAGGCCAGCTGGGGCTACAGGAAGACCCTGTCTCAAAAAGACCAAAAAACAAACAAACAAAAAGCCCCCCACTAATCTCAAAAAATATAGAACTTCTACTTTTAGATACAAGTTCTTTCTAGCTGAGTTACTGTTTGCGTTCTAATGACTTGGTTTTTCAGTTCCAGAACTACTCTATCCTCAGCAAGACCAATACTAAGACTTCTATGACCACAGTTTTTCATCTGCAGTAGAGAATGGACCTCAGGTAGCATGCTTTCTTCTGGTTTACATAGAAATTACTCCCAAAATGAAAATATGCTCCAATATATCATTCAGATTCTGATTCTAATTTAATGGGTATACTGGGGCTCTACCCAGGTGTGAGATATTTCTTACTATCCTAACATATTCAAAAAGAAAATGTAAGATTTTGTGTTCCTAGAGATAACAGACAATTCAAACCCTTGAAAAACATCAACAATTAACCATGACTCTTATCCACAAGTCTCAAATCTGTATTTATTATAATGCTGGTTTGTCTCCCTAAGTAGGTATCTGGGAAAATATACAAGACCCTTCTGCTATTTTAGGTCCCTCCACCTCAGGACCACCAGGAAGCAGGTCCATTAGGGAGCCAGTTTAAAAAGTGGGCACCTTCTGGTTCAGGTCTCATTTCCAAAGGGCTAGGTTTTCAGGCAATACTAAATAAAATAAGGATCCAAATGTAGTTTCCAAAGAACACACACCACTGAGTCTATCAACTCAATATTCTCTTCTGCAAATTTGAGAATACACACAAAATTTCAAGTTAATACATCCAAAATGAGCTTGCTTCTAATCATCCACAAAGTCCTCCTAATACATTTCACCAGAACATCGTGCACACACACTGCTGAGGTGTGTGTATGTGTGGGGGGAGTGTTAAAAAAGTCTAGCAGTGGGCTGGAGAGATGGCTCAGCGGTTAAGAACACTGGTTGTTCTTGCAGAAGACCCGGGTTCGAATCCCAGCACCCACATGACAGCTAACAACTGTCTGTAACTCCAGTTCCAGGGGATCCAACGGCCTCTTCTGTCTTCCGAGGGCACTGCATGACATGGGTGCACTTACCTAGGCAGGCAATACACTCATACACATTTAAAAAAAAAAAAAAAAAGATTTGATTTAAAAAAAAAGTCTAGCAGTATAGGGGAATGGTTGAGAGGGAAACAATGTCAGACCAGGTAACTACCCAAGAGTCTTTAGATTAATTTAGAAAAGAACCTCCAGGCGGAAAAACTCCAAAGAGGTCAAGAGGACAGTCTGCTGCTAGCTGCACAATTTACATAATTTATAACGGAGGACGGGGCGGGTCTTCCAGGAGGGCTCAGGGATGCTTCCTACAAACGCAAGAGTTACTGCTTCCCGGAGCTTTTCTAAATCCTTCCTTTACAAATGGGTCTTTGCGGGGCTGGAGAGATAGATGGCTCACCGTAAGAACACTGGTTATTCTTGCAGAGGACCAGGATTCAAATCCCAGCAACCACATGGTGGCTACCATCTGTAACTCCAGTTCCCGGGGATCCGATGCCCTCTCCGTGGGTACTACACGACATGGGTGTACTTACGCATATGCAGACAATACATACACTCACACACATAAAATAAATAACTTAGGAAATGCGTCTTTGCGCCCTCTCCGTGGGTACTACACGACATGGGTGCACTTACGCATATGCAGATAATACATACACTCACACACATAAAATAAATAACTTAGGAAATGCGTCTTTGCCGGGCGCGGTGGTGCACGCCTTTAATCCCAGCACTCAGGAGGCAGAGGCAGGCGGATCTCTGTGAGTTCAAGGCCAGCCTGGTCTACATAGTGAGTTCCAAGACAGCTGGGGCTACAGGGAGACCCTGTCTCAAAAAGACCGAAAAAAAAGAAAAAGAAAGAAATGCGTCTTGAAAAAAATAAGAGCGAGAATCTGTGTCGTCGTGGATTACTGTCTTCCAACTGAACAAAGAAAAAAAAAGCCCCTTGGCTCAAGTCGGGGAGCCGGAGGGACCGCACGAGCGCAGGTGGGCCCGCAGCCCCGGCCGGGTGGGGAGGCGGACGGCACCTCGCGCGCAGCCCGGCGTTATGTAATGGTCCATCCGGCGGGTCCCCGCGGCTGCTCGGCCAGGGTCGCCGCACGGTACTCCTCGGGCGCGCTCCGGTCGGGGGTGCACCCCTGCCTTCCGGTCCTCCGAGACCCTCGGGCCGACCCGAGCACCTCTGCCCTCGGGTCCACCCACCCCTCCGGGTGGACGCCAGGGCCCGCGCGCTGCAGCAGCCGCGCCACCCACCCGGCCTGCCCGACGGCGCGGCCCGCACTCACTGTTGTACTGCACCCCCTTAGCGAAGCGCCTCTGCAGCGCCTGGTTCATGGACTGAAGCCCGGCGGGGATGTTCTTGTCCCGGCCCGGAGCCTGCTCCGATCCCACCAGCTTCTTCAGCGCGGAGAACATCTTCCTGTTGGACGTGCGAGCCAGGCGCGGCCCGCGAACTCAGCGGCGGCGGCGGCGGCGGCGGCAGCGGAGCGCTCCTCGCACCATGTCCCGGCGGCCCGGGATTACCCCGAGGCCGGAGTCGGCGCCGGCCACCAATCCGGGTCCCGACAGCGGGCGCAGCCTGGAGTGGGGCTCCCGGAGCCTCAGCTGCGGCGGCTCCGCTCCGGCCCCCGCGGCCTCCGGCGCGGCCGCTGAACGGCAGTCGGCGCCACCATCTTGGCGGCCGCGCGGCTACGGGGCGCCTAGAGGGACACGTAGATGCCGCATGCGCAGCGGGCCGCGCGCTGGCCCCGCCCCCACCCTCTCGGGTCCGCCCCTCGGTCCAGGGCCCGCCGCCTTCCCACTCCCTGCTGTTTCTCTCGGCTCTGGGGCAGTCCTGGAAAAAGATGTTTATTAGTGTAACAGAGCACAGGCGGGGCTACTTCTTCTTCTTCTTGGACGCCTTGAACCTCCCCTCGATCAGCCACTGGCCCTGTTTCTTTATCTCGGCCCGCGAAGGGACGTAGCTGTGGTCCACGTCCGCAAACTGGAAGGTTTCTGCACAGGCGGGAAAGAGCTGCTGGCCACCTGTTCCAGAGCTTCTCCCCGGATCATTTGCTGCCGGAGCCCATCTCCTGTGTCTGGCTGCTCCGCTATGGGGTCCGGCTGTTGAGGAACAGCCGACCCCAGGCCTGGCCCACCCTTAGACACAGGTCTCAGGGATGGACGACAATGGGAGCCCCTCGTGATCTGGCGCCAACAAGCTGACACTTCCCTGCCCTAAGTCACCCAAGGCCAGGTGCCAAGCAACCAGAACTTGACCCAGTCACGCACGGTAGCCAGTCCTTATCGATCCACCCTACCCTGCCTTTGTGGCAGAAACCCTACCAAAGGCCCTGGTCTGGGCTTCCCTTTGGCTCACGACATGGTGTATCCCTCATTTCAAAGGCTTTAACCATGCTCTGAAACCTCTATCAATTAAAATCTGTCCCTTTAGACTACTACTGTTTGACCAGTAAGTCCTGAGTAGATGAGTGGACACCATCTGCCATATGGCTCCTGTTGTCCCTAATCCCCCCTTCCCCTTCCCCTCTCTACGGGTCTCACCTATCATGTCTTCCTCTTGGTCCTCAAAGGTGATTCTGGTATTATGTCTCTCCTTTAGAGTTGACGACTCCAGGGCATCCCTCACCTTGGTGTCAACCTGCAGGGCAGTGCCCTCATCAGCTTGGAGAGGACAGGGGCTGTGTGAGTGCCCCTCCATGACCCAGGGCTACCTCCTCAGTTCTGGACAGCATCTGCATGTGGTCAGCCAAGTATGTAAGCTTCCCCTCGCAATAGTCCAGCTTGCCGTGCACATCAAGGGTGTCTGAGATGACTACTTCTTTCTGTAGGCCAGAGGAGTGATTTGTCTCTCCTGTGGTCCTGGGTGGGGACTGTGTGTAGCAGTGCCTCCCGAGGACCGGTACCTGGGTGGCTGGCAAGGTGATGCCCATGAGCCGGATGTAGAGGTTGTCAATGCCTGTCTGGATGATCAGAAGCAGCTGCTGGCTCTTGTTCATGTTGCTGTGGGCCAGCTGGAGCCTTGCTTCTTCCTCTTCCAGCATAGTCTTCATCTTCTCTATAGAGTTAAAGCTGTGGAGGGGTAAGCATAGCAGTAAGGGTGGCATAGTGCTCAGAGCCCTCAGGGGTCCTGAGCCAAGTACTGTGTCAACTTCAGGAATCATAATTTTGTTGCCGGCAAGTGGGTCTCCAGCTTCTTTGCAGATTCACAGAGTGGTTGACAGTAGATATACTGTAGCTCCTAGATGGTACCTGTGGGCCCATTTGGTAGCCCTGGAAGCCACATACCCAACAGAGCTGGGCGTCTGGTGGAACTTAAGCAGCGTTTCCTCAAGCTCGAGCTTCTTCATCAGGGCCTCCAGCTGTGCCCGCTGCTTCTCACAGTCCTCCATCTGCAGCTCCAGGTTCTCCTCCGTGTTCTTCTGAGCCAGGAAGCGGCCAGCTATGTCCTGACCAGTCCAGGGCAAAGAGAAACAGGTTGTTCTGGAAGGTATGACACTGCATAACCCTGGTTTCTTCTGGGTCTCTCTTGTGGCAAGTATAGGTTCTTGATATTTGGGGCACAGTCATGATGCTGGGCACTTTTGGGCACTGAGGTTTGAGAGGGGCCAGGCAGAAGGGTAACTTGTGTATTTCGTGGCATTAACAGCTTTCACGGCAGGCAGAGGGTAAGTAACCCCACCTACAGTGAGGGGACCACACATCATATTCATTCAAGAGTATGATGATGGACATGTTCTCATCAGAGCTGTGAATGGGAGCTCAAGGCCTGATGATAAGCTCAGGTGGGTAGGAAAGGGCCTAGCCACCGTGAGAGGCTGTATCCTTAATATATGGACTCTCAGATTCTGGAAGATTCTGTCATGTACAGAGTATGACTGGGACATGCCAGCTATATGCTGGGGATGCCTTTTATTCTGAGTCATACTTCAAAGGCCCCAGACTCTTTCCAGGCCTGGGAGCAGGAGTTTGGGGACCTCCTTGAGAGTCTAAGCTTTCTGAGTCCTTTCTAGAACACCTCAAGTCCCTAGCCCAGCTCCATCACCCTCCTGCCATGTTCCGGGAGGTGCCAAGGAGCCTTACACAAAAATGGGAACACTGCACAGCAGATTTGACCCTCTCCACCAAAGCAGTCACTTCCGTCTGATATTCCATATCTGCTGTGGAAGCTTCTCTTTTCCTCACTGGGCAGAGCAGAGGAGGGAGGTTAGTCAGTGTTCAAGAATGACCATCTGATGACTCTGAAGACACTCAGCCTTCAGGGAAGTCACCCAGGATGCTGGATGCCCTTCATGTCACCTGCATCTGTACCTGCTTTCCTCAGCCTGACCCTTCAGGGTATCCTGGGGGAACCCTAGGACAGACAAGGACCAAGAGCAGCATGGTATCATTTGGCTCTGGGAAGCAGTTCTGAGATGTCACTGGTGCTAGGGACAGCATCTCTGTAGCTGCATTGGGCTGTGAGCTCTCAGGCTCTGCAGGGGCAGCCAGGGAAAGGCAGGGGCTGTCTGTCTTCCTCATTCTAGTGACCATAGATTATACCTGGCTTCACGGTGACCTGACTGGGTGGTCCCAACCAGTGCCGGCTACTGGAGACCCTGCCTGGCCCAGGCAAGGAGCTGAGACTCACCCCTCAGGGACTCCACACTCAACAGATTGGAGGGGAAATCCAAGTCCCTCAGGCTCTAATGGGAGAAAGAGAACCAGGGGAGGGTGAGTGGGGAGGGTCCTCTCAGCTCTTCCCTGATGGGTGAGTGGTGCCGCGGGGCCTGGCCCCAGAAGTACCCGGCGGTATTTCTCGCTGGTCTCCTTGGTGTGGATAAGCTTCTTCTGCTGGTTCAGTCGGTTCTCCCGTGCCCTGCGCTCCTCGATGAAGGTGGCTTCCCCTTCTCTCATGTTCCTCTGGAGACACAGAGATGCAGTGCGGTGCTGTCTCACTGAGGACCATCCCAGAGTCCTAAAGCCAGTGGCTAGCTTGTAATCCTCTTCTTACTATCTATGAAGAGGGTTGGCATCCCCTTCTTCCTGCTGGCTCTAGCTATTCTCTTGGGATGCCCTTTTGCGTCTGTAGTCGCATGCTGACTTCTCTCTCTCTAGCCTAGGCACTCTATCGTCCTTCAGGCTCCTGCCTCCAGCTGCCCCCCTGGTTTGATCCACTTAGAACCCATTAAAGTGGATTCAGCATTACTAAATCTAACTCATCACCTTTTTCCCCAAACCTAGTCTCTTCTGCATTCTGCTTTGATAGCTGAAAACCATTGTCCTTCCTTCCCTGCTTCTGCTTTCTCTCTCACCATTACCATCTCTGAAAGCTCACTGTGGTCACCTCTTAAAGACTTTCTTGCCCTGTCTGCTTCTGGCTACTTCCACTTCATTGTGCCAGACAGCTTCAGTTGTGAACTTGACACATCTGGGAAGAGGGAACCACAACTGAGGCACTGGTAATTGCTAATTGATGTGGGAGGGCACAGCTCACTGGGGGCGGTGCTGTACTGGGGCAGGTTGTCCTGTATTGTATAAGAACTCAGGCTGAGCACAGGACAGGGGAGCAGGCCAGTAAGCAGCGTTCATGCATGGGCTGTGTTTCAGCTCCTGTCTCTAGGTTCCTGCCTGGAGTTCCTTCCTTGGCTTCTCCTAAGGATGAACTGTGATAAGGACATATAGCCAAACAAACCTTTTCTGCGCCAAGGTAGTTTTGGTCAGAATGTTTTATCCACAGCAATAGAAAGACAACTAGGACAGGCATCTTCTGGTGCCTGCAGTTAACATGTGCCATTATGAATCACAAATCTAATCATGCATCCCTCCATCCCCCACTAGGCTGCAGGCCTGAGGACCTCACTACCCCTACTAACTCATGCAGGGCAGCTGTGTACCTTCCAGTGCACTAACCTCCTCCTGACAACAGGCTTGGCCTTTCTGTCCCTTCTCTTTCTGAGCTCCAGCCTCTCCTGGATATTGCTATTCCTTCAGAGTCGATTCAAGCACCATCTCCCTGGAACACCACACTGGACACACTACAAAGTCCTCCACTTTCTGCCATACTGACCCAGACTGTGTGGTGCCCTACTGGATGGGCAGGGTCCTCCTCACAATGCCCACTTCAGTAGAATGGGGCTGGCCCCAGTTCTGTCTCACTAGAGACAGGGGCCTTGCTAAACTGGGTCAATAGATAACTCCTGTCCTGGCCACTCTCTCATGGCTTCTGTGCCCAAATGGACTTCTTCTGTCCCATGGATGAGCAGAACTGGAAGGGGCTGACAATGGATTTCTCCAGGGATAATGGATGGTGTAGGCATGGGTGCTGATGAATCCGGGCCAGAAAGGACCAGGAAAGCCAGCTGTGGGTGGTTCCCCAGACCTGGGTCTCACCTTGACCTCATCAGTAATCATCATTGCTTCTTGGGACATGACTGTCATATCTGACAGCTCTGAGCAGTAGTTGTCCACCAGGGTCTGGAGCTTGTCTAGCTCTGTGGGGTATTCCGCCAGTACCTTTGAGAATGGGCAAAAGCAGGTGGTCACGGGGCTGCGGGTTCCTCTGGTGCCATCATACCCCATGGTTGGCTTCCCTGAGCACCCTTCTCTTGTGAGTTGAGTAGGCTGTGTCCACTTTCTACCCTTCTCTCCCAGACTGTGTGAGCTCCAAGGACAGGATGGGGGTCCTGTCTGTGGCTTGGCTTCTGGCAGGTCACAGAGCAGGAGAAAGGAGTGTTCCAGCAGGGTCATTCAGTACTGACCTGGGGACTCTTACTGCCTGGGGCAAGAGGATGTAATGGCTAAATGCTCTACCCCAGGAAGGGCCAACTCTGAAACTCAGGAGGGTTTGCTTCGGGGAGGGCCTTCTTTGGTCTGAGGGGTTTGAAACAAGGGCTTAGAGCTAGACAATCAATCAGGGATCAAAGTAAAGGCTGCTTTTAACTAGCCAGTAGTGTGATCATGGGAAAGTTACCTAACCTCTACAAAGTGATCCTGGGTCTTTTTTTCTTCTTAAAAAATTTTTTAGCTGGGCATAGTGGCACATGCCTTTAATCCCAGCACTTGAGAGGCAGAGGCAGGTGGATCTCTGTGAGTTCAAGGCCAGCCTGGTCTACATAGTGAGTTCCAGGATAGCTGGGGCTACAGGGAGACCCTGTCTCAAAGAGACCAAAAACAAATTTTTTAATTGAATTTTTGTGTATCTCATAGACAGCATCTTAATCATCTTTATACCTCTTTCCCCATCGACACCGTCTCTTAGACCCCTCTGCCCCCATTGGATTTCATGTATTCTGTCATTTATGTTATGGTCTATCAAGTCAAGTTAGTATACCCTGATGTCCTTCACTGCATGTTCAACCACTGGGGTCTAGGCAACCTATCTAGAGTCACTCTCTTAAAGATCAGCTCTTCTTCACCCAGCCACTCTCAGCTGCCCAGTAATTCTTCAGCTAAGACTGGGGCCTGCTGCCCATTTCCACAGTGCTGTGCTGGGTTCTGTCTGCTTATGTTTGCATGTGATTCTGGCTTTTTCAGAAGTTTGCTGTCAGATTGGACAGGTGGACAGAGAAGATAAGATAGCATATTTAGCAAAAGGCCAGGTGCATCAATGTCTAATGAAGCTTAGCTATTGGTATTTTGCAGAGGACCTGGAGTTCAGTTCCCAGCACATACATGGCAGCTAACAACAGTCTGTAACTCCAGTCCCAAGGGATCTGACACCATCTTCTGGCTTCTTCTGGCCTCTGCATGACACAGGTGAGGGTGCACTTACATACATGCAGGCAAAACACTCGTACACAACCTCCACCCAACTATACATGTTGAGGCTTTACCAGTTTTTTGAAAAATGTAGATGGATGTGGGGAATGTTTCAAGTGTGTATTTTGGAAAAGAAAGTTCTACAAAGAGGGGCTAGAGATATGGCTCATCAGTTAAGACACTGACTGCTGGACCCAGGTTCAATTCCCAGCACCCACATAGTAGCTCACAACCATCTGTAACTCCTGTTCCAGAGGATTCAACACTCTCTTCTGACCTCTGCAGGCACTGCACAACATAGGTACACTTCCATACATGCAGACAATACACTCACACAAAAATAAAAATAATAAAATATGTAAAAAAGAAAGTTCTAGCTGGGCATGGTGGCACACGCCTTTAATCCCAGCACTCAGGAGGCAGAGGCAGGCAGATCTCTGTGAGTTCAAGGCCAACCTGGTCTACATAGAGAGTTCCAGGACAGCTGGGGCTACAGGGAGACCCTGTCTCAAAAAAGACCAAAAAAAGTTCTATAAGGAATACCCACATGAAGAAGGAATGTGGGAGAGTGGGCACAGGAAGGAAAGGTAGGCAGGGCCTCCAGCTGAGCCTCCAGGGCAAGGCCAGGCAAGAGGGGCAGGCTAGAAGCATGATTCTGAGAGCTTGGTTCAGGGGTTATGACCCCAGCAGGGAAAAACGGCTGCATCTTCCCTTGCATCAACCTCTCCCCCGAAGCTATGCCATCCTACCCATTCACCTCTCTTTCTTAGGGTGAGGGTGTCTGGCTTTCCCCTGGACACTTTTCCAGGCCTGTCCACCATGCTGCTGTGAGAACCCTGCTGCCCTTGAGCCCTTTCTCCCTGACCTGCATCCATAGCTCTGCTATGTGGGTGCTGTAGGGGGAGTGTATGTGGGTGCTGTAGGACCTCCTTAAATGGGGTCTTGCCTCACAGCAAAGTTTATGTCTCCCAGAGACTCTCAGGGACCAGAATCTGCTTCTTTCTGGCCTTCTGCACAGGCAACAGGGTAGTCAGATCCAAGGCAGTCAGGAAACACTGTTCAGGGCTTTGGGAGGTAGGAGAGGTTCCTGTCTTGAAGCATGTTAGGGACCTTTCTCAGAGGCATGATCCATCTTTGACCCTCAGAGACTCACACTAAATCCTTTACTATGTGAGAGAAAGAATTCTGCCTTGTTTTGTTTTGGTGTCTGTATGTATGATGATTTGCCTCTACTTTTGAGATAGGGTCTCACTATGTCATTCAGGCTAGCCTGGAACATGCAATCCTCCTGTCTTCACCTCCTGAGTGCCAAGATCCCAAGCTGATGTCACCATGTCCCGGCTTAAGTCCAAATCATGGGTACAACCTATAATATGATTTTGTGGAATAGCAAAAAGTGAAGTTGTCAAAGGACTGTTTTCCATATACTTTAGGACCGCTTGGCCAACCGTTTGAAAGAGCATTGCAGGCTGGGACCCCTGGGTGAGGGCCTCACCTTCTTCAAGTAGTCCAAGAGTTCTGTGTATAGTGTGTGGATGTTCTGGCTGGTGGTGATCTTGATTGTGGTCTTTTCGATGTTGTTCTCCAGCTGGCGGATAATCTGCAAAGAGGAGGGTTCATTGAGCATGCTTGGCAACAAGACATCCCTGTCCTCCAACAACCTCAGTGGTGGAGTCGCAGAACCCTGCCCAGGAGAACAGAAGGACCTGGGCTCCCAGAGTCCCAGCCCTGCTGCCTGGCTGTGCAAGTGAAGTCATTAATGCATCTCATCCTCCACCCAGCCACCGTGAGTAAAATGGCTTTGGCTGCCAACTTCATCCTTACAACTGTGCACTATTGATATTTCACAGGATCATATTGTGGGATGTGCCCGTTATTTGGACTGAATAATAATAGGCCCACCCCTCTGGTATAGCACCACTCCTCCGCTGGACCCTTGTCTCACCTGCTGAGTCTTTTGCTTGCACAAAGTCCCTTCCCTGTGGAGACCAACACCTCCCCCACTCCCACCCTGACTTCCCACCAAGGTCTACCCAATGGCCCCGCCCTGCTGCGCAGTCCCAATCCTCCCAAACCTCTTCCCCAGGAGGGGCCCCGCCCAACCACAGACTGCCTTCGCGCTCTTCCAGCTGAGTCCCGCCCCGATGGAGGAGCCCCGTCCCGCCCA